TAACTTTGGCCCCCAAGAAATTGGCGACGCCGACATTTAGTTAACTAGCTAGTCATAGGTGTGAATTTACCTGCAGATTCAGGGATCAAATGCATGGACCACTTACGGAGTATAGACCTGTACAAATGCATAATATTGCCCTGATCAGGCATTAGCATATGCGGCAAACGCGCCAGGTTATCTTATAGTAAGGCCTCATCTTTGGGCACAAATTAAGAACCCCGGACCACTGAGCTCTTAACCAAATCCAGCAGCAGAACAATTCGACTGGAAGAATTACCCAAAGCCATTAAATTTGCAAAAGCCATTCAAATTCATCTCCAGAACATCAAGCCTGATATGTGTCAACCCACATACCCCGGGCACGTGCCCACATGCCTACCTGGGAATAGCCGGACGGAGCTTCCCGTCTCACCTGGAACCAAATCTGGCGAGATTCATACATAAGCGATGGCTTTTTGCGCATGGTTATCCATCGGCATATGTGCCGTCGCACAATAAAAGGTTGTAGTATCGATGCAGTATAAACATTAAATGAATTCTGGTGCTATATCATCTGTGCAGTAGTCCACATCAGACTGTACACATGTCCTGAGCTCCATCCAATCTCGACGCCATTTAACCACCCGGCGCTCTCTCATAGGGGGCCAGGCAAACTGCATTGAATTTCTAGTATTCGACACGACGGCAAGCAGGGCAACAGCTGCTGACCGCCTGTCGTAGACTTGGTAATTTTACATTTTGCCGTCACTCTTATCGATAACGTACCTTGCCCTCTATTAATAGTTACTACTACTAGTCCCCTTTGTTATCTCTCACCTCTCTTCTTCTGCTTCATCTCCCATTCACTATGCACCCGTTTAGCCAACATGCTATCTGCGCTATTATCCGCAGTTTCCTCCTCTCTAGCTAAAAGGACCTCGACTCGGCGAAGTCTCTCGATACGACCGAGTCAGATATAGCGTCTCGAACCTCGCAGGTCGAGGCAGCGGATGACTGTCATTCGCACCTGCCATTCGAAATCCCGGGTGCTATAGTGTTTTCTGCCCCCTCTATCTCTGTCCTTCGACAAACTACGAACGATGTCTATCGTCGAATCAACTCCGATACGTCTTACTCGAACCAGTTTGTTATCGTGTTAAATATATCTAAACCTCTACAGGAGCAATTAGGTGGAGATCGAAACCCCTTAGGGTTTCCTACAGATTGACGCTCGAGACACAACACCGGCAAGGGGTCATTCGAATAATACCATCAGGAGCTCATAAGTGAGTCACGCGGTCATTTTCAAACGAACTCGTCCTGAAATTATTCGAAATAGGAATTCATCCAAGAGATTACACTATGAATGCGGCTACCCGATAGCACGGAAGAACATACGACAAAGAAGCCGACGAGTCTCTTACTCCGTCAGGGAATCCTTCTAACGATGACAACTGGCCTTCGCTCGTCATTGAAACTAGTCTTTCTGAATCAGAAGCACAACTGCGAGCCGACGCATATTAGTAGTTCTCAAATTCCGACTACAAAGTCAGCATGGTTATACTCTTTCACGTCCAAAGATCGCCCGAGCGCAGAGTCACCATAAAAGACTACATTCTCAGACCAACCACCCCCCAATCACCCGTGGACTACAGGCGGAGGCCCAGCGCACTCTGCTATCTCAAACAGACTCCCCAATAGTGCTGCGTCATTCAGCGGTCAATGAGATCGTTATTACCTCAAGCGATTTTGAGAACGCTCCGCTGCTTGTGGGAACACTGTCCATCTTAGGAGTTGGGAACGACCTTCTAGGAACGACCTTCTAGGAACGCCTTGTACGTGTTTAGGAGTGTGCCCACGATTCCTAGAAGCACTAGTTATATGATTCAGCTAAGGTTGGGTAATCCTGTGCTTCCTCTGGGTGCCTAGGATTGTCTACTCTTGCGTCTCACTTGCCTCCTTGTTGGCTTGAACGGGGTGAAGAGCAGCTGCAAGTCTGTCACGCCAAGCGTATGATGCGTACGGACGAGGTTGTAGTACCAAAAACTGTCGTTGGTCATACTAACCAGGTTACAGTGCGGATATCCTATAGAATCAGCCATTTAGCACTTTTCCAACGTTTTGAATTATGCAAAGCTGAGACGTTGCGATTGATTCCATGTTAGCGCAACCTATATTTCAGTACCTAGGTGCTATTGACGACAAACATTATCGGCAAATCACATTGATGGAGTAATATCTGGAGTAATATCTTGTCCGCGCCACCACATTAATGATCCAGCATAACGCGCAGCATATCGGCAGGCCAGTGCACCAAAAATAGCCCGTCGCATAAAACACCAACGCCAGTTACACAAGTTGTAGAGGTCGTTTCCGGAACGACGCTCGTCCATAAGACAGGAATTTCATTTCATACATCCCAAGAGCTGCGTCTCCATTATCAGATAGGACCGGATTGCAGTGTCCAGCCTAAATACCTCAACTGGTTTCCATCAGAGTCTGGCCGCACACGTCACCAAGCCAATACCGTGTCATCAATTGCACAGTATCAGCGTTCTCTCGCGTGAGATCGCACAGCTTGGAAGCGCGGGTGTTGATAAACTTTCAGTCAAAATCAGCCTCCAGGACGCGAGCATGGCGAGGACCCATAAGAGACCAGACCAGCATCTACCAGAAAAAGGTTGGGAGATCATTTAGAATCCACCATAGGGGGTCTTACCGGAGCAACAATATGCTGGCACAGCGACTTGGTCCTCAGACGAGCAGCCATGATTTCGGTAATAGTCATGATTTCTCCGCGAAGCAGTTAATCATCGCCGATCGCTTAACTTTCCAGGATAGCCTTGAAGTGTGGATAGCTTCCCGCATGATAATCGGTTACTAACACAGCATACCATTGAATCCTATAGACTCCAGCAGTTGGCCAAATCTGTAATCTCGAATCCTATTATAAACGGTTAGAAGGCCGACTTAGAAAGATAAGGTAGCTATAAGAGGCAACGTACTCTCGATATGCACCAGACGCCGGAGGGCTATTAGGGTACTTCTTCGATGCATATACCCAGCACTTCTTAAAGTGGGAAATTCAAAAGAGCTCCATATCGCGAGTATCCCATGAGATCTGATCCGATATGGAAGCATGTGACATACGTATATAGGTCGTGATTGCTAGCTACAGTACGAATAAAGGGAAGAAATGTATAAAAAGATATATCCAAGGAAATACCTAAGAGTACGTCTAAGAGACCACTAAAAGGACCACCAAAAGACTACTAAAGAGACTACCCAAAAACAAATATAACAAGACCGTATCAGCGGCCAACTGTTTTAATATCCTACATACATATGACTATCACCCTCCACCCTAGACACTCCTTCTCCTTCTCCTTATTATTCCAACCTTCTCTGGCCTTCCTGTGCCTCCTTCCTCCCCTGATCATCTACCTAGGTATAATAAAGTAGGAGCCTACTCAAACCACATTGGAGGTCCCGGAATGATGTAGGATTTGGGCTGCAAGGAAAACAACTCTCATTAGTATATCATCACGGTAATCAGAAACGCCAACCCCCAACCCCACCTCCAAAAAAGGGAGATCAAAGACTTACAGGAGGATAATAATTGTTGAAATGAATGCCAGGGTCCTCAGCACTATAGAGACCGGGGATTGAAACCAGCGGGCCTGGCGTGCCGGAGCCACCACCGGTGACATGGACCTGCGCACAGTTGACAAAGAACTGCGCGCTGTTAGCGTTAGCAGCGTTGTGGACGCCGATGTGCTCAATTCGGAGCAGGTACGAGCCGTTTGGCAAGGACGGTGGGAGCTGGAACGTATAGCTTGTTACTCCTAGATGGATGAAACAGATTTATTAATCGATAAGGTTCCTGGCAGATATAAAAGCGCTCGAAGAACAAAGAGGAAAAAAAGCAAGAAAGATTCCTTACCAAGCTGAGGCCAGTTAATCGATCCAGAGGAGAAGTCAGCGCCCCATTCATGGATCTTGAACCAGACGTCGCCGGCGCCATCAAAGTTGGAAGGATCGCCCGGTGCCTTGGCCATGTAAACGAGCATGGGCCCGATATGGCCGATGGAGTTGCTCAAGGTGAATCCTACCTATATATAGATATAGATAAATTACAAAATCAGCCCAAAGACCGAGCTTGGAGGCTTAGAGTTAGAGAAATAATAGATCCTCACCGTATCTCCAGCTTGAACTGTAGCGGTCTCGGTCTGTGGCCCAGACGCAAGGCCGCCTTCATTGCAGCGCAGGTCGATGGATTTAAGATCCAGCAATGGATTGATGTTGTTGGTGTTGTAGCGGACATACTTAAAATCGGGAGTAGCTACTCCGTCGAGGATTAGGGCCGGGAATTTGTAGTGGGCCACTGCAGAGCCGGAGAAAGAAAGAACAGCCGCAGTAACGAGGCTAGCGAGCTTCATTTTGGGAATAGAAGAGAAGAACAAGAGTGCTATCGACGCAGAGTAGTGACAAGCTAGTTAGTGTCTTGGGAAGAACGGGTCAGGGATGGATGGGGTGAAGGCTTTATATACTCCATTCCCTGGGCTTTTAGCTCTTTCAGTTGCCGTGTCCCAAGACCTTTTGAAACCGGACAGAGATGAAGAGGGCACACATCCTCCGTGACCAACAGCGAAGTACGGCCGATCCTTGTTCTGTTTTCCCCGTAGTATAGAGTATGGAGTAAAGACCCTCACATCCATTATCTATCTGGGCCAGGGATCAAGTGAAACCCCGAAGTAACCCCGCCCCCAGGTTCTGTTTCTCCATATTTCTTCATGTCAGGATCATATGCGGATGGCCGAAACGAATGGGAAGTGCAGGCACAGTGTGATAATAGAGTATACGCATGCTATTATTCAGCTGCAACTAATTGAGTTAAGAAAGAGATATCATATGGAAGTAGAGAATTGTCATTGGATACTGCCTGTTTCCTCGGTGCAAAAGCACTGAGCTACTCTATTCTACCTGTATTCCCTAATACTATGGGGCGCGAGGCGCAATCACACGATCGACCACTGATTGTCATACGCCGCATTTACATTCCATTGCCCAAGCGCCTCGGCATTCTCAATAGTCACCTTCTCCCCCTTTACAGTCCAGTCGGAGATGGACAACCCCATTGTCAGGCCCTCAGCGCCAGGATAGGTAGTGTCCGGAGTTGTCGCGATGATAGAATCACCGATTGGAACACTGCCGCCAATTAAGCCATCCACATAACGCACTCCGGACACTTTGAAGTCAGCGTAATTCTGCAACGGAGTCAGACGGAAGAGTCCCGGGCACGGGCCCTCGCAGATAATGTTGGAGACACTGATGCTGATGGTCATAGATGGGTCAAGCTGGGGCTCGCCGTTGTATATGGGTGAGGCGGCGATGATGGCCGAGGGGACGTATGTCTCGCTTCTGCGGAAGCGGGTGTGGATGATGTAGAGGGTGTCGATGACGACATCGTGGACATCCCGCGGCTGCCATCCCATCTGGATGATTGGGTCGTTGAGAATTTTCCAGATGGTCAAGCGGTTGGCAGTCACGCCAGAGTGATATGTCTTGATGGCATCGTCGTTGCAGTGGTAGAAGACATCATGGACGACCCCGTTTGTGTACATTTGCGGTCCATCGGTTTGCAAGAAAAACGCGCCGACTTGCTTGTAGTCGAAGATGTGGACGGAGATATCATGACGGTCGGTGCTGCCATCTTTCAAGTCCATAGTGTTGAATGGAGGCGAGCTGATTGTCGGTCCTGCGCAGTGCCAGACCTGACCCGCTTGCACGCCACGGTGCCACCAGAGACGCAAGCTGGTTAGGTCGCTCTTCTCGGCCTTATAACCAGCCTCTATATTGGCTTGGTAGACGTAGATTTCTCCCGAGATAACACCGTGCCCAGTCGCGTAAAAGTCCTTGTTGCCAGTCGTGTATTCCACTGCCCCCTTCACAAAGGCCCCAGGAGCCAAGTGCACCCAGTACGTCGCAGGGTCCAATTTGATATGGGTGAGACCAAGAGGCTCGGAGTCGATCCAGTAGACGCCCGGAGGGAAATAGACAATCGGGGCACCCTCAATATCGGCAACAGAGAAGGCACCGGGTGTCATCACCTTCGTGTCTGGGCCATCCAGCGAGGGAACCAGCTCGTCTGGCAGGAAGGCACTAGCGAAGATAACCAGCGCATTCCGCGGCTCGATGCCTACGACCTCGCCAGACCCGTCGGTGGTGTAGATATCGCCATTCGAACGGTAGGTGTACAGATCGTCTGCGAACTCGACGGAGAACCGGTGGCCCTGGGGGTCTGCAGGCACATGGATAATCAGAGCGCCAGCGACGTGCTGAGTCTCCAATGGAATGGCTGTCGGGCGAATGACGACGTCCTCGCCGAGAGCTTGGCCGTCGCGCCGAAGAATCCTGACATCGACGGCCTGGCTGTGCTCGAACTGACTCCATGCCATGTTGATGCGCTCGTCCAGCTCGATGGAAATACCATCATCGCCGGAGAAGCTTCCATCGCTGTCTCCTGGACTCATGATCTTGCCATTACCGTTGCGTGGAATAGACTCGTACACGAAGGAGTCGAAGAACTCGTCAGACCCAGCCAAGGCGACCTGAACCAGATACTGGCGCGACTGTCTCACGTTCTCCGGCGCCACAGCCGTATCAGTGTTGATCTCGCCAGTCCCGTGCCACCAGGTGCACAAGTCCGTACCGCAGTGGGTGTTGAAGCTTGCGTTGGACTGCCGGGGTGGGGCCAGCCCATTGACAAGGCTGAGGAATGAAGCGCCCATGAGGATGTAAGCGTCTAGATACTTCATCGCGAGACGAAAAGATCAGGACAGAATGGATAAATTGGAAGGCCTTGTTGTTGATAATGGAGTCAATACGGACAGCTCTGCCTGCTATATACATCTCCATTTTTCGCAACCAGGCAGTTCGAAGCATAGTTTGCCACTGAACTGAAACTTCCAAGACCAGGACGAAACCTTTCTGTCCGCGCCAAGCCGCCTGCGCGCGAGTTCTACTACTAGCACACAAGATGACGATCAGCGAAGTTTCTTTTCCGGTCTCCATAACGCAGTGGAACCCGGAGAAGTGCGGAACGCCCGTCCGAAATCGGGCCGTCGACTGGACCTCCAAAAGCCACGGCGATCCTTACCGAAAGCCACAGCGTGGGGAAGCCCTTCAAGAGTGGGGCGAGTAACCATGTACAGATGACTGAACGTGTTGAACCTTACGTCTGCGGACTTACGTACGCCTACATGCGTACGGTTGCTCGTCATGGACTATGAGACGGTTAACGTGGATTTACCAAGGGATATATGATTCAATAGAAAACGCCAATCAGAGAATGGTAGTGAAGCGTAACATGGATGTAGTGTTCAATACTGCAGGTACAAGTCACTGTGGTTCTCCAGCAATGGCTTAGAGGTGTGACATTTCACGGTGTCCGTCTCAAGTTCATCAAGCTCCGCAATTACGGCCTCTTCGGTCGTAGCTTCCATTTGCATTGACAGGAAAGCGTCCGACTGCGGCTTTTCCGACGACCAAAACAGCGGCGGTGGCGGTAGTGCTGGTGGAGAAAGGTGGTTGGCCTGCAGTACATCCCGCGCCTTTTCTAGTAAAGTCGAGAAGAGATACGACTGGCACCCGCGCGTTCTCGAAAGGACGTCGAGGATGCTTTTCAGAAGATCCTTTGTCCCGGTGTTGGACATTGTCTTCGGCGTTTTCGAGAGTAGATGTGGCGCAACTTGCGTGATGCTTTCGCCGATATCATAGAGCTTTTGTTCCTGCCACGCAAGGTGTGATTAGACTGGTTTCTGGCGCGTATAGACGACTAACATACCATGCCAATGCCGTGGGCGTCAACAGAGGGCATAGAGGCAGAGGAGAGGCACGCCAGCGCGGCTCTCCCTGCCATCAACGGGATATGGATTGGTAACTGATCGCTTGAGTCTCGAGGCTGGAAGGGATGTTTTTCTACGTGGTATTTCCATAGGCATACTAGCAGCCACTGCTGGCTGATGATATAGTCCACCTGATGGGTTTCCGAAACCTCCGCAAGGAGGGTCGGAGGACTGGAGATAGATTTATATATGGCCTTAATGGTCGAGGACACCTGCAAGCCACTCATCGGAACCACAGTATTCCAGCTGTAAAAGTCCGGAACCATCTGTTCAAACAAGGTGGCGAGGCTCACAAAGCCATAGAGAAGGGCGGGAACCTCGGAGTTCAGGACAGAGGGCTTGCGGATATTTGACCTTAGCATTACCGGCCGGCCAGTCTGCAGGGCATATGCACTTTTCTCAACAGGTTAGCGTAGCGATTTTGCTGTAAACGGAGAGTGGAGGTAACTGACCGCTCTGTGACGAAAACCAGCCAGAAGACCCGTCGACGGGCCTCTGCATCCGCAAGGGGTATGCCAGCATAGACGTGCTCCTTATCCATATTCAGAATCTGTAAAAAGGAAATTGTCTGGCTCAGATAATGCCAGGCGTAGTCGGATTTATTCAAGTTGCCGTATGCACAGAAGAGGAAGAACATAGTGAGCAGAGTGTCCATATGGGGCTCTTCCAATGGATCATATTCATACAGAGCTCGAATTGCCTCCATGACCAAGTCATAGCCGGATATGATATTGTTTTCCGATGGCTCGAACTCCCCGATATCTAGATTGAGCTGCAGGTGAGTCGCCGCAGACAAAGCGACTAGATGGGCATATCGCCGGGGATGCAGGGAATCAGGGTTGGCAGAGTCGGCCATAGCCTTGGAGTCGACAACCGGCATAATGGGGTACAGATGCTGTAAGAATAGCCCAACATGGGCACCTAGGACGGTGGAGGAGATCCGCCGGGTGGTGCTATTCGGCGGCGAGGGCGAGAAACTGAGCTGACTTGGGTGATCTCCCGATGAATTAGAGTTCTGGGAGACGGCCAAGGAGGGAGTTGGAGAGGAAGAGTTCCTGCTCTCCAGATCATCGTTAGAAGGTAGAGTCGTCATGGTGGCGAAGGCCTGTCGATGGGGATGGCTAATGCTTGAGCTGGCCGACATCTCGTCTAGGATGCCACGTAGGGAGTTCAGAACATGAGCATTATGGCCTTTCGGGCCCTTCCTGCGCGGAATGCTGGTGTAGGAACATACGAGAGAGACGTCCTGGCATTTCTGACACGGTCGTCCACGAGTGCAGCGGACTTTGCGTCGGCGACAGTTGTCGCAGGCCATAGACGAGGGGCGCTTTTGATTGGGAACGGGGGTAGGTACTTTTGGGGTGTTCATGATGAATACATTGAAAGACATTCAGAAGCAACCAAACGGTCAATTGTGTTAGAAGGTGGAGGAGTTGTGGGGGAGTTGCAGTGAGCTTCCTAAGATAGCGACTGCAACCGGGCCGAAGTATTGGATGCTTGCCGACGCCAAGAAGGTCCAGCCTCTTACATATTAGGAGGGTATCCAATCGGGGCTACGTCGGACAGACTGCGGTGATTGGTACTGGACCAAGATTGCAAAGCAGACTTATAACAAGTAATTCCCGGAATAGAATAGCCTTCTCGCCTACTTGGCCGATCTGTCACAAGACGGTCCTTCCCCGCCTCGCACTGTACTCCTCAACCGTCAACCTTCAGCCAAGCACACAATCGCCTCCATCGGCCCCAGAGAGATTGATCCGGATGGCTCCAGCCCCGTTTCAGTTCGCCCGGGGTAATTCGATAGGACGACTCGCCCTGGGTTTGAAATAGCCTTCGGGGGCAAAGCCCAGGTGACCTCATACGGGCGAAAATTGAGGACGATCAGCGCCCGCTCAAGGGAAGACGAGCCGGGAGAGGGGCTCCGCACAAAAGCAAACACATCTTGGTTTTCTGGGTCCACAAGTGCGAAGGATCCGTAGACAAGGGTGCCCAAGTATTCTTTGCGCAGCCTGAGCATCTCTGACCAGTACCAGTACACGCTCCCCGGGTCCTTGACCTGCGCCGCTGCATTTAGAGTTGCATAATCGCAGTGCACTGGGATCCAGGGCTCGCCCACGGAGAAGCCCGCGTTGAGAGAGTCATCCCACTGCATCGGGGTGCGTGAATTGTCCCGCGATTTGAGTCGATATTCGGCCAGCGCTGTCTCGTGCATGCTGATGTCCTCGGGGTGGCGGGAGATCAGTCTAGATAGAGTCCGTCAGCGATCATCTCCCACGTTTCCATTGCATTGGGACTTAACTTACTCCTTCCAGTGGTTGAGCGTTTCGATGTCGCGGTAATTGTCGAGCGGCCAGTCCTGGGGCACATTAGGCATCCCCAGCTCCTGTCCCTGGTACACAAAGAGGGTGCCACTCTGGCATCCTAGAAATGTAGCCAGCAGCTTTGCTGAGAGTTCGCGATGCTCAGGGCGATCCGAGGCAAATCGAGACACGGATCGGCCCTGGTCATGGTTCTCGAGGTAAAGCGCATTCCAACCGTGGTTATCATGCATGAAATTCTGCCATTTGCACACGATCGACTTCAGCTCTTGCAGATCCCATTTCCGATTCGCAAATTTGTCCGTTGGGCCATGATCCATATTCACGCTGGAGCAAACGTTAGCATCATCTTAGCTTATATCATCATTTGTAATTGAAAGGGGGGTGTACATCTCAAAGTGGAAGGCCATATTGATCTCTCCCCTGTCATGCCCAACGGCTTTCAGAATCTCCGCGGGATTTTCGACGTCCAGCATTTCGCCCACGGAGAAGGCATCGTATTCCTTGAGGATCCTTCCAATATCTCGCAGATGTCCATGGAGGCGAGGGCCACATGCATAGAAATCCTTCCCCGACTGCCACGGCGACTCAGGGTCTGCGATTGGGGCATCCGGAAAGCGCTGGTCCTTACTGATAAAATTAATGACGTCCATGCGAAATCCGTCTGCGCCACGGTCCAGCCAGTACCGGATAATCTCATGCACAGCGGCAGGGACTTGAGGGTTTTCCCAGTTAAGATCCGGTTGCTCTCTAGCAAACAGGTGCAGGTAGTACTCCTCCGTTCTCTCGTCATACGTCCAGGCACTTCCTAAACCCCCCACCAACAAATTAGCGCTGCCGATTGTTAAAGGTGGGAAGGCGCACCTCCGAAATAAGACCTCCAGTTGTTGGGCGGGTGCTTTTCCCCGTCTCTGAAAACTGGCTTTCTCCATATATACCAATCGCGGTAGGCGTTGGTGACGGACGAACGTGATTCCTGAAACCATGGATGCTACAAACACGTCAGTTGCTGCTCTTTCTACTACTGAAACGAAAGGGACGAACCTGGTCAGAGGTGTGGTTAACAACAAGGTCCAACACAAGCTTCATGTGCCGGGAGTGAACGGCAGCAGCAAGCTCGTTCACGTCCTCCACTGTCCCGTACTGCGGATGAATCCCATAGTAGTCTGAAATGTCGTAGCCCATATCCACCTGTGGCGAAGAGAAAATCGGGTTCAGCCAGACAATATCCGATCCTAGACTTTTGATGTAGTCCAACTTCGAAATGATCCCCTGAATGTCGCCAATTCCATCGCCGTTGGAATCGCAGAAGGAAGCGGGGTAGACCTGGTAGACTGAGCTCTCTTTCCACCACTTCCGAAGGCTGGTTTGGAGAGGCTCCGCGGAGGTGCTTTCCAATGAAGGCATTGTAGCGTTTGCGTGATGTATGATAGTTGGTTAGGTGGGCAACGGCTTGAGTGGGAAGACGAAGGTGTGTTTTCACAGACGCAGTATTTCTGGACTTATATATTACAGGACATCCGTTACCCTTGCATTTCTGTCCGTTCGAAAAGACCGTAGATTTACCAACCAAATCCCCGTCCACCATCGCCTGTTGGTGAAGTCCCACCGTCCTGTGGGGAGGTGGGGAGTTTCGTATGTCCGTTCCATAATTGGAAATGACGGGCCGACATCGACTCAGGCCCGATCAATTTCACGGCTTACTGGGTTAGTAGTAACTTGGTGGATCCGAGTTGTCGTTTACATCTGTGGCGTGGCAAGGAGGCCCGGACCTTCTGCGGCGGTTTACTGGAAAGGCTAGTGCCTTCTTCGCGTGTTGAAGAAATTCTGCACGACAGAGAGGCTAACGGATTATTATTGGCTTCACAGCTCGCAAGATGTGGGAACAGGAAATAGAGTACGTTGCATGAACCATTCGATTGTCTCCATTGAGAAAAACAAATTGGGATAACTAACCCGGCTAATTACACTGCGCCCTCTGTGTCCATACTGAGAAAGCCTCTCTCCGAACTAGCTAGTATCGCCAAAAAGCTCGACAACTCCCTCCGACTTCCTAACCCCATTCCTGTAGATCCGGTGCGGGTAGCCTCCCTGCCTGAAGCCGAGAGGGGTCTCATGCGCGCGACTAGGAAGACTTCTCTTCCACGTGGGCACCCAGTTCCTCGTGGAATAGGTTAACCTTGGCAGAGGCAAACTTGCGCGCGGGGACCTTCTGCTCGAAGAGTGCGTCCATCTCAGCGTAGGTACGCCCACGGGGTTCAGGAACTCGGAAGAAAGCCCAGACACAGCAGACAAGAGCAAGACCGCCCCAGAAGAACCCGGCTTTGCCGCGCCAGTTCCAGGCGTCAACATTCAGCATGTAAGGGATAATCACCCCGTTAACGATACTGAAGCAGTTATAGAGATTCCGAGCGATGACGACAGTTTTGATACGGAGTCGGGTGGTCGGGATCTCGGAAACCAAAGAGTAGCAGACTGGCCCAACGGATATATCGTAGAAAAAGGTATACACGAGCAACATCGATCCGGTTGCCCAGGAGGTCGCGGAGCTTTCAGGGGCCACAGATATGAAGCCAACAATGAGCAGCAAGGTACACAGAGTAGCCAGACCATTAATATACAAGGTTCGACGGCCGAAGTATCCCATGAGTACCCAGGATAGAACTGTGCCCACGAAGCCGATTGCGTACTGTGCCAGGGACATGTTAAAGGACTGCGAAACAGGAAGACCCGCACGTTGGTAAAAGACTGTGGAGTAGGCCATCAAGCCAGAGCCACACAGATTCTGGGCTGCCCAGATCAGGCAGGATATCTCCGTGCGGCGCAGATCGTGGCCACGGAAACAATCCCAGTAGGATGTACCAGTCGTGATTTCCTTTTCCATCTCGTTGGTGTGGACCATCATTGCAATTGTCTCATGTGCACTGAAATCAGCATCTCCCTTGGAGGTCAGTCGCAAAAGGGCGTTGACAGCGTCCTCGGTCCGGCCCTTGCGAACCAGCCACCAAGGGCTTTCTGGTGCGAGGACCACTCCGATAAAGATTGGCACTGGCCAGACCCATTGAAGTGCGAACGGGATACGATACGCCCACTCGTCTGTCCGTTCGGACAGGCCCTTCAAGATTCCAGAGGCAATGAGCTGGCCAATCACCCAACAGAGATTGACGTATGTTGTCAAATAGGCACGAAGAGCAACTGGGCAGACTTCTGATGCATATGTGACACTGAGGGTTTGATAGACCCCAAGGGGGATCCCCATTAAGATCTCGCCAACAAGAAGAGTCTGCACGTTGGAGGCGAAGAAAAGAATAAAGATAAATGCAGTTGTAGCAACGAGCGATCCCATCATCGTCCGGCGGTAACCAAACTTCTCAGACACAATTCCGTTCAGGAAGAGACCCAGGATTTGTCCACAGTTCATCGCGTTAGAGAGACCTGCCTGCCAGGCAGCAGTTAAGCCATAATTGCCATCCGACTGGAGTTTGCCATATTTCCTGTTGAATGCTGGATAGCCGTAGAAAGACCCCATCAGGACGACGTCGTATCCCTCCATGATAATGGAAGCAGAGATGAGAATCGACCATCCGACGGCCTTGGGGTAGAGCTTCAAGCCTTGCCACAGGCCCATCTTGTGCTCCTTTTCGGTTGCAATCTGGGCATCTTGAATGACCCTGTCCATGTCGGGAGGCATTTTGACGTCGTCCTCGACATGTTGGGCGCTGGCTTTGATTTCCATCAGGTAGGGAGGGTGTGTAAGTTGAAGTATAGATATCCAAATCTGGGAACTGACAAACGAATAAGACGCGAACGAGCAAGAGACGAGGTGAACGGAGAACAGATTCGCCTTACCTGAATGATTATATAGAAATATGACGATGGCTTCTGTCTCTGCCCTCGTTTCATCCAGGGCTATCTCAAAACGGAGAGACGATAGGTGCGAGTATGAGGCAAACGCGGGCCTTCTTCGGTGTATCATACGCCCTGGCCATAGCTTATACGGAAGTCTCAGGCGACTGAAAGTGCTGGATGTCGAGAATTCACCAACGGTCTGGGGCGAGGCAATTCCCGTCGCCTAGGCTATGCCATTCGTGGCATGGGGAGACCAGTAGAGAAATATTTGTTTGCGGGGAAGGAGCCTCAGTAGAGTTGTTGGCGAGAGAGAAAGTTTCTCGGAAAGCAGGTCCAGAAGCGTGGGGAAATGAGACACTTGCTTGTGCCCGGGCTGATTGGCTTGAGACAGCCACGCCTGGACTTTCGGTCCTTCTGCGGCCCTTTTGCGGGTCCCAGGCTGATCCATGACTCGTTGACCTTAAAAGTCTATACAGTAACTACCTGGCTACTAGACCGCAGGTACGGAGTAGACTTCACGCAGATCGGGAGATGATCCAATCGACCCCGTCTCCCGCCTAACGCCTTTCGCCACCAGCCTGTACTCCGTACCTTGGATCACACCAGGACCGGTTGCGGGCTTACTACGAGTCTAAGCTGGGGTCCCCAGATCTGACAGCCTTCGGAATGCCCCTCGATTTGCGGAGGAGGAAGGTTCGGATATCGGAAATGAAGCCTGGGATTGACCGGAAAGTTGCTATCCATGTGAATTTCTACATTTGCTTCGCCGCATTTGACTGGAACCTGAAACAGAGAGTCGACATGGCCGTCCGTCCAAGCCTCTGATCCCGTAAAGCTCGTTTCGGAGGGAGGAAGCGGCTGGAGTCTCCAGCTTTGCACCATAGTACCCCAATAACGGAAAGCTCGAATCTATCGCCACCGGCATAGGCCCTCCTCACATCCATCATTGTCTGGGTCTCCCGCGGACTTGTAAGCGAGGTCGCCTAATGATGATAGAGCAAAACCGTCTGCCTTTTTAATTCTAAAATATTCCGACGGATAGAAGATTCTGCCAAGCCAACCACGCTTCTACTAAAGCCTTCATATACCACATAAGGACAAATAAACGAAATGGGTAACCATACGCACATCGTTTTTGACTTCTTATCACCCCTTCCAGGTGCATGCATCACTAGGTAAAGCTTTGCTCGAAGAGAACGATCTCAGTCGGCCCCTGCGCCTCACGGCACACGCGGCGAACATCGTCACTGAATCCACCGCTTCCACAGCAAAGCACTCCCATCGCGCCAATCTGATTCTCCACCTCCCTCGCGAGAAGCTGATCGAAGTCGGGCCGCCCCGTCACCACTTGCATCGTGCTTAGGCGCGGTTGAGCTACATCCATATCGCACGAGCCCGTCACGTAGACTGATATTTGCAACACGGATGCCACCGTGGAGCTAGTACTCCCCTGGACCTCCCTCTTGTCCGGGAGGGTGATGCTGCCTAGCCATTCCTCAATCCACTCCAAGTAGCTTGGCGAGCGAATTGCCCACACAAGTTGAATACGGCGCGCAGCAACCGTCCCCATCGCGTGTCCACGAACCAGGTGGGAGAGGAATAGTAGATGATGGGTAATGCCTACACCCCCAGCAAGGAGAAGGACGGTTCCGAACGAATCGAGGGAGTCCATAGCGCCATACGGGCCCTCGACAACTGCATGCACGGACAGGACACCGTTTATGCTCCGGGCGGCACGTCGGGCTAGTGTATGCGTAAAGCCTGAGCGACGGCGGACAAGTAAGTAGATGGCTGTTTTATGAAGATGATTATCATTGTCTTCGCCACCGGCTTCCTCGTCGTCGCTCCAGCATACTGAAAATGGATGTGACGTCCAGATGCCAACGGCAGGGATATATAGATAGACATGCTGGCCTGGTTTAACTGGCCATGGCCGCGACATGTAGAGTGCTATGCGGAGGATGTCGTCAGGGAGCGTCTCGACCACAGCGGTTGTCAGACTTCGGCCACAGTTGCGGTAGAGAATATTTAGGATACGTGCTGATCGCTGATAACCAGATGTTTAGTGTAAGGAATATTCTTGACCAATGGGGGAAAAAAGGCAATATGTACCTCCACAGCCCAAAGAATGATCGCTCCGAGGAGGAACCCTTGAGCGCGACGCCCATCCAAGTGTATCCATAAAAAGATAAACGCCGTAGCCGCCGTCGCAATGTGTAGATGGAGAAATGTCTCGTAGAAAGCGTGCCGGATCGGAAAGGGAGAATGGACTAAGAGTAAGGCAAATGCACAGGCAGCCTACATGGAGTGTTATCGTTCTCGCCCGCTAAATATATCTATCTATTGGGGTAGATCTACTTACAACGAGCCCTGTTCGGGTGAATGCATTGTCCTCGAATGACATTCGGACGCCATTCCAACCAACTGTTACGTTATTCTATTAGCTCCATTGCTCTGAAATGAACAAACATGGCTTGCCTTCTTGCGCTTTAGGAATACACCAGGCGAAGACATGAGCGAGTGCCTGCAGAACGACGATCCGCGCAAGCCAGCGATGAAATAGGTTGAAAGTATCGTAAGGCACGCGAAGGATATAAATCAACGGGTTATTCCTTCCCGCAAACAGCACCAGTGGGATCAGGTTCATAGTTGCCATGATGCCGGTTCGGTTTCGGATGACTTTTGCGGCTCTATCGGAGCTGTAAGGCACATTGACCGTACACAGGGTGACATTCATGGCGAGGATTCCGATCAGAAGCATAGAGTGAGTCCGACTGGGCAATGCTCCCATGTTGGCTGCTGCAGAGAGCCGAAACTCCCTATGGCGTCGGTTGTGAAAGAGCGACGCGTACAAGATATGCTTCCGGATTGCTGCGAGCCACCTGCGTGCGGGTCTAAAGTACTGTTGCCGCTTATTGCTCAAACATGCGATTTGCCGCAGATAGCATGAAAAACGGGAGGATGCGCTCCAGACAAGGAGGACTGCTGCAGAACAACCGAGAGCTAACAAAGCGTATGCAGCGAGCTCAGTGTTTACCTGGTCGTAATAGAGATCTTGTGCATTGTGACCATCGTCAGCTCTGTTGTAGAGTGCCATTATGGCCGAAGTACTTGTCAACTGCAGAAGATAGAGTAGGCTTGCCGCAAGACGATCCCGGTAGGTTTTATACTTGTGGCATAGACTGTTAGGCCACTGGATGATATCGTGATCCACGCCCCTCCGCTCCGGAAATGTCGCAGCGACGGATCCCTAGACAATCCCGTGGGGCTTGTAGATCCCTGTTCGTCGTCGGCATATAGTAGACATTAATAGCGGTGTTACTACGGACTCTCGTATTGCCTGCCTGGTCTTTGATTCATAATTTGGTATTAATTAATGTCTTTGCCAGGCATCCACTGTCCGCTCATTGCCCGGTAGATCAATATATCCGGACCTCTCCAGGTTTCGTTGAAACAAGCGGAACTCGGCCGCCTTTGCCCGCTTCTGGAATAAAATATCAACCTCGAGAAAGCTGAGACCAAATGTCTCCGGGAGTCTGAAATAGCACCATACAAAACAGACCACGGTGGTCCCCACAAAGGAAAAACATGATTTGTCCTTCCAGTTCCATGCAGTTGGATTCAGCATCCGAGGAGTAATAGTATTGGTGATAATGCCCGTAATGTTGTATACCACACGGCCCACGACTACCGTTTTGACTCGCAGTCGGGTAGAAGGAATCTCTGCAACGAGCATTTAACTCACCGGACCTAACGTCATCTGATAGAGGAAGGTAAGCACGACGATCAATGAGCCCAACGCCCATGACCGCGCTCGTGTCCAGGGCAGCAAACTGACGCAGCCACCCACAATGAGGATAACAAACGAAGGGAAGCACCAGCGAGGTAGATCCGGCGGCGCCCAACCCATGGCAAGAGGGACCAGTAGATAATATTCGCACCGATAGCCAGCCCGTACATTCCCACCACAAGATTCAAGGCGTCGCGCACATGAAACCCAGCCTGCTTGTAGAAGTACACCGGCGTAGAATGTAAGGGTTGAGCCACACAGCTTGTGTGACCCAGACCATTGTAGTGATCTCGGTCCGTCGTAGATCCACCCCCCGGAAGCAGTTCAGGTAGGAAATGTTGCTATCGCTGAGGTATTTTTCAACCTTGTTGGTATGGCTCATCATTGCCACGGTCTCATCCACACGCAATGCCCCCGTCACCGGTCTAGTAAGACGCAGAAGCGATTTCCGAGCCTCCTCGGGCTTATTCCGGCGGACCAACCACCCTACAGCCGCCATGTTCAGTTATGTTATCTTTCCCAATCGCGAGGTCAAGGATACCTACACGCAATTTCTGGGGCAAAGAAGACTCCGACTACGGTGATAACGATAAAGACCCATTGCAATGCGAAAGGCAGACGGTCCGCCCATTCGGAATGCGTGTCAACCAGGGCGCGGGTAACGGCCGCCCCGCAAGTTTGCCCTAAGATCCAGCACAGGTTGTTATAGTTGAGGGAATGCCACGAAGTACCACCGGCATTACCTCGGCGGCGTACGACACGGACAAGGTCTGGAAAATGCCCCAGGGAATCCCTTCTAAACAGCCTAACACATACGGATGTATGCAAACGAGGCTAATTGGGACATACCGCATAGTATTTGCACTGCCAATCAAGTCTCAGTATTCGGAGCGAAGACTGCTAGAAAGACAAGGGCGCCCAGTGCAATGAGCGACATCAAAGTTCGTCGGTAGCCGAAGCTATCCGCAACCAGGTCATTGCCGATCAAGCCCAGAATGACACCAATTTGGGTCCCATTAATCAGGGCGGCCTGCCAGACCGGAGAGATCCATGATGGTTGCTGATCATCGGCATCCTGTGACTCAGAAACAGGCACTGGCACTGGCTCGCCATACCATTTTTTGGAAGGCAGGAAAGGCGAAGAAACTGGTCAGGAGGCTCATGTCATACCCATGCATGATAATGGTGGACGATAAGAGAATCGACCAAAGAATAGGCTTGAGATACGGAGTACGGACGAAAGGCTTGCGCAAGGGCCATTTTCTGCTCAGCTTGCGTTGCAGCCCTGGCGCTTTCTATCAGATCGCCTATGTCTGGGACTGTCGTCGACAACGGGTGGAATACATCAGCCTCGGCATGGAGTGGCCTGTCCAATGAGAGGTTCTGAAGGCCATAGTTTTCAAAAGAGGCTGCCCTGAGTTCACGGGGTGGCCCTGTCTTGGTGCTTATCGGACATCAGGAGCGAAGAGAGCGCAACATGTGGCCAAGACTGAGGGACGAAATGTACGTGATTTATTTATAAATCTATTCTTCAGATCGTTGAAGACATTGAAGCTTGGGCGAGTTCGTTTGAAGAAAGGAAGTGCGAATGTTCTGAGTCGTCTCTTTACCCAGTCCGGATGGTCTAGACCAGAGTCAGACTCTAGGCTGCTACAGGATCCGTGCAGAACCGGTCTGATCGCACTTCGCGGGGGTGGCAAATGAGAACACGGCGTTACATTCCAAGGTTTGCTCATCAGGCTCGATCAGGCTCGATCGGGGTTTATCTGACTCAATTAGACTTAATTAGAGTTGCAGTCGGCCCGTAGAAAGTCCGGATAGTCTTGGTCCAGCGTGCTGGGCTCTAATATTACTGTAATATCATCAGGCCAAGGTCTCTGTAAGGTCAATCACCGTAATGGCATTCCCATTCTTCCCAGAGAGCCACCCGGCGATGAGCGTCGAAAACTACGCTTACATGCGGCGACTCTGGCAGCACCAAGAGCAGCACCAGGAGCAACATCGACCACAGAGCTCGTCCCCCACGGGGGATTCCGACCAGTCCAACCTCAAGTCAAGGGGTCGACCACAGTCGAACATACGGCGACTGGCCCGTTTCTTCATCCCAGCTAAACTTCGGCGCTCGAAATCGTTCGAAGGACTCGAAGGACCAGTCGCTGATCAGGTCCCGAACGGGAGAAATAATAATGATGACCTTCTCTCTCGTTGCACAAGCGATAATGGTAATAACACTTTCTTGACCGATGCATTTGATCGTACCCTCTCCTCTCCCTCCACGACTACCAGCACACACAATTCAGATCCAGCAAGACAAATATTTCGCTTATGTGCCGACCTCCTGACGAACCCTTTCTCAAGGGGTTTCGAGTTAAATCCTCTACTTCTCAACATCGCTCACCCGTTGATATCTGGGCGTCACCAAACAAGCCGTCTCACTAGGGTTCTGGACCTGGGTGGCAACGCAGACAGTAAGTCGTCCGCGACCCGTTCCCTTTTCACAGCTTCTGATCACCCAGGCGTGTATTCCAACACGATCGCTACTTTACCAGGGGCCGCAGTTTGCCAGTTTACACAGACGCAGCTCGAGTCCCGCCTCTCCCCTTCATCATTGCCATTCAGTCCAAATAGCTTCAACGTCGTCTCCGCAAGAACCCTGTATAAATACTTCTCGAACTCTCATTGTCATCATCAACTACCAGAACGGTCTCGGGGTTCAGAGCCTAGCCTAGAAGCCTGCATTCGTGAAATCTACCGCGTCCTAGATAAGGACGGTAGTTTCGAATACATTTTCTTTGACCGTCAACTAGGCGATGCCGGCCCTCTCACCAGGGAACTGGAGCGCTTTTTATATGAAGACGGCCACCGATGTTGTACCGTGATCTCCACCCAAGGGCAGAGCAGCCAGCAATCAGGCTCCGTTGGACGAGAAGCCTGCATCTACTGCTTAAACAGTGCAAGTGGAAGTGCGACGCCCAACCAGCCTGTCACAGGAACCCAGTTTCTTGAAATTCTTGCCAACGAGGGGTTCACGACGGAGAAGAATACAACGCTCATGTTTCCGCTTTCTCTTCTTACCACCGTCTTCACACAGGACGGACAGCGACTTAGATCAAGCCATGGAGACTCTCCTGAGATTGAAAAGCCAGGTATAACTCCGATGCTTGCTTCGCTCATGAGGACGGTTCATGGCGAATGTAGAGAGTTTCAGACTGCGTGGAAGTGCATCATAGGTTCTGCGCGAAAATTGTAGATGTTGACCGATTCGAGGGATACATTATTTAACGGACTATTATGGATTGAATCAAGTCGATCACGGCGTTATTAACCAGGTATGAACTTGTTCGTTGGGCTATGAAACTGAAAAAAATACCCAGGATATAGAATATTTTACTGAAAAGGCGGAGTATCAAACTCCTAGGCTACTTCAGACGTGACCTAGGCCCTTTCCCTTGCCCACGCATCCTCAATGTCCAGACTGTAGAGTAAAAGGGCCCGCCGCAAACTTATCTCGATCCTTTCCATCAACAATAATATCTGCAGTTGCTCGCCTCCTCAGCATGCTCCATGATACCGCCCAACGGCCGTTCTTCGGCGCCCAAGGAAGCTACGAGAATACAAGTTCCCGTGGGACGAGGAAAATTTGCCTCACTAGGGCATCATGGGACTCCGCACCCCAAGTCTTCTCCCCGGCTCTCCTGCAATGTCAGCAGTCGGAAATTAGTTTAGGCAGTTTAAGGCCGGGAATGGCACATAGTTATGTTAACCTTGAAGGCCGGAGATATCTGTTGGATCCTGGGTCATGTGACCGGTTGCTGCCTGAATGATCAGGCGAGTAATGCTTGTTTGCCTGTGGGGTAACTAACTAGATAGTTAGCTCTCTGTCTCCTCCCCCTCTCTCTCCTTCTTTCTCTCCCAGTTCCAGTTCTCTAGTTAGCTGGCAATACAGAGCATTCTTGCTTTCTCTTCCGCTGCGCTCGCCAACAATATTTCCCGGAGTGAAACTCGTTAGGTAATGTCGAGTCGTGGACATAGCCCAATCGGGTGCAAGCCAACCCTAAGTAACCTTGAAGACCGTCGTATAGGCCCCGCATCTCTTACTCCCTCACGTCCAGGTTTCGGGACTCGCCTCCGTAGACCAATTTACTCGCCTCATTTCCGCTGTGGGGTAGCCATATACTGGAATCCATGGGGAGAGCCTCCTTTACCCGCAAAAGGGCCGAAATGAGGGGAAGCCACTTCCGATTCTTGGCAATGTAGCCCAAGAGACTCCGTTGAAATGACCCTCTCAAGTTGTGCCGTCCTCTCTTCTCGGCTTGGGGCCACCGGGGTAATTGCTTGCCTTGGCCCACATCGGCTAGGCCAAAGTGGCAGGCTTAAGCCTATGATGAGTATAAATACCCTGTCCAGCACCCACGAGTCTCTACAGAAGGACAGGTGTCTTTACATTATCTGAATTCAACTCAACACGACATCATCGACAAGATCCTTCAACGATGAAGGCGATATCCCTCCTTGCGCCCTTGGCAGCGACTCTGTTCATGGCTGGGAGCGCAAGCTGCCTCTCTGCTCCTACTCCAGGAGGAAACGCGACAACCTGCGACTCGAACCTCTGCACCTGGTGGCATGACTCTGGTGAAATCAACACTCAGACACGAGTCGAGCCCAGCAATGTCCGCCAGTCTCGTCGTTATCTTGTTCAGGTCCGCCCTGCTGGGAGCCAGGAAGCCTTTCGCCCGTCCTTCGTCTACGAGGCAATTCCCAGAAATGGCAATGGGAGAATCCACTCTCCCTGGGACTACGGGAACGGGGATGATACTCTGGGTACAAACGTGGATGATGGAGTCAGCATCGAACCTGAGGTTGGCATCAACATGGCCTGGTCCCAGTTCGAATACGCCCAGGACGTGGAAGTGAAGATCCTCCGTAGGGATGGCCAGAGCCTAGGCGGTGCGTCCAATGTCAAGATCCGTCCGACCTCCACCAGTTACTCTGTGTCCTCCAACGATGGAGGGATCATCATTCGCGTGCCAAAGGATGACCGGGGTCGCCGGTTCTCTGTCGAGTTCAACGACGATCTTTACACCTACCGCTCCGATGGCCAGAACTACGTCCATTCCGGCGGCGATATTGTCTCCGTCGAGCCTAAGAATGGGCTTATCATTTTCGCCAGTGCGTTTTTACCTGCCGACATGGTCCCTACTATGAATTCGGACAACACGAAGACCATGACCCCTGGCCCTATTAACGCTGGCGACTGGGGGGATAAGCCAATCCTATATTTCCCACCAGGTGTCTACTGGATGAACTCCAACCCGCAAGGTGACAAGCCCAAGTACGGAGAGAACCATATCAAGCTCCACCCTAACACCTACTGGGTGCATCTCGCCCCAGGTGCCTACGTTAAAGGTGCAGTTCAGTACACTACGTCGAATAGCAACTTCTATGCCACTGGCCATGGCGTCCTCTCCGGTGAGCATTATGTCTACCAAGCCAATCCCGCGACCTACTATCAGGCAGTGAAGAGCGACCAGACAAGTCTACGGCTATGGTACCACGAAAACGTCGGTAGGCAGACGTGGCATTGTGTTGGCCCGACTATCAATGCTCCCCCGTTTAACACTATGGATCTCCACGGTAACAGCTACGATGCTAGCGTTCGCATCTCCGATTATAAGCAGGTTGGTGCCTTCTTCTTCCAGACCGACGGGCCCCAGATGTACCCTAATAGCGTGGTTTCGGATGTCTTCTACCACGCCAACGACGATGGTATCAAAGCCTACTATTCCGGTGTCACTGCTAAGCGCCTTATTATCTGGAAGGTCCACAATGACCCTATTATTCAGATGGGCTGGGACTCTCGCCAGGTCAGCGGCGTTAACATTGATGGGCTCGATATCATCCACACAAGGTACCGGCGCTCCGAAACAGTTGTGCCCTCGTCGATCATCGGTGCTTCTCCGTTCTATATGGACGGGAAAACTCCGGATCACAGCAAGTTCATCAGCATGACAGTCCAAAACATTGTTTGCGAAGGCCCCTGCCCAGCTCTCTTCCGCATTCAGGCGCTGCAGAACTATAAAGACTTTGTCGTCAGGAATGTTGCGTACCCCGATGGCTTGATCACTGGCAGCTTCGGCCTCGGAGAGAGCATCATCCCCGCGGTGCCAGGCATGACGATGGAGCTTGACGTCACAAACTGGACGATCAGGGGCGAGAAAGTCACCATGTCAAACTTCCAGTCGGACAGCCTGGGCCAGATGAACATTGCTGCGCAATATTGGGGGCAGTGGTCTATTCAGTGAGACCACGGCCAATGATCTCAGAACAGTGTTTCTTGGGCCGCTGGGACAATCTTCACTCTCATGTCGCACTTCTTTGTTTGTATATTTTCAGCCCCCACTGCCATTCAATATGTCTATCGTCTGAATATGATATGCCCGAATACATATTCAGGTGCAAAAACTGTCGAATACGGGCATGCTACCGTCGAGGGCACACGGAGTGTGGGATATGTTCCGGATTAAGAAGCAATAGCAGTTTATACTAGCACAGCAATGCAATGATCTCTCTACAGTATTATTGTTCCATCATTCTGGCAGGACTGTATAGCGAGATTTGGCGTCCGGTCTCCCATCAGGTCCGCAACTGAAAGAAGGGAAATATGTGACGGCAAGAAGATTTAAATTATCGGCTAGCAAACACGGGTGTGCATATGCAGTATAGCGAAGCCCTAGAACTGAATCCAGGTGTGTTGTTTTACTTTCTATACTTCAGTGCATTATTATGAAGCTTATGCTGGTTCAAATTGCCCATTTCGGACGTGGGTCCTGGTATACCGGAAAAGGCAATAATCGGGATCGCTCAACTGGGTGGAACCTTGGAATCTTCCATCTGGTTTCCCCAGTGTATCAGGTGATTTAGTCTGAGTCTTATTGCAAAGTACAGCACAGGATAAAACCGTGACCTCCGCCAGGATATTGACGCCAAAAGCAAAAATGGGCTGGAGTCCGCCGATATACTATCCGCCGACTCGAGCTCATTACCCATTGCACTTTAGTGCGGATGATAAACCACCTTTATACAACTAATACACGGCTGGTATGCGAAATTCATGAGGTTCACTTCATCTATAACTAGAGACGTTTGTATCCCAGTGCGCAATCATGTTGACGACACGAGATGTTCTCTTCGTAAATGCTTCTCGCTTTATCTCATCCTTCATAAATCCTATGTCGTACAATCTAAATCTCCTTGGTTTCCATCCCAATCTCAGACCCACTGTGACTGCTACCGATACTGACAGTGTCAGTAGGATGCATTGACAGTGGATGCAGCCCCTTGTGCCGGATCTGCGAGCGCGGTGTAATAGCCACTGGAGCGTTCTCATCAACAAAAGAGCGCTCTGACTCCTCGTGAACAAACTGTGTTGTGAAGACCTCCTCGACCTCCTCAAGAGAACAACCCGCAGTTTCAGGATAAAAGGCCCAAACAACAACCATCGCCGCATAATTGAACGCAACAAAGCAATACAAATAATTGGACCCGATATCCGTCAGCGCGATAGGCGAGCACTGCCCAAAGATAAGACTAACACTCCAGTTAGTAGCGGTTGCCATCGACGAGCCGCGGGCTCGAATGGGCGTTGGGAAGATCTCAGTCTGGTAGACCCAGGAGATCATGCCAAGAGCCGTGAAGAAGAACGAAAATACGAAGAACATGGCGATGGCAGCTCGCAGAGCATGTGGGTTGGCGTTGGTGTCGCTGAAATCGATGTATCGCGCGAGCGTGGCTTCGATGCACAGGGCTGCTCCCATGCCGAGCAGTGATGGGATGAGCAGTTTCCGGCGTCCGACTTTGTCGATGAAGAGCATGAAGACAGTATTCCAGAACTGTGCTAGCGCGCCCCAGACTCCAATTATCATGAGGGATGTTGATGTTGTAAGGCCGAGCGTTTTGAAGAGTCGTGGGCCGTAGCTTGAGATCACGTTTGTGCCTGCCCACTGGGTGAATAGTTGCAGACCACAGGCGAGGAGGATCCTGTGTCGCCAGCGCGGGGAGAGTAGAAGTTTGTGCCAGGATCGTACGGCGGATTGCTTCTCGGATGCTAGGCTCTCTTGGATTTGGAGGAGCTCGTGTTCGAGTAGTTGCTTGTTGGTTGCGCTCCGGTTGAGATGGAGTCGGGCGAGGACTGAGCGGCCTTCCCCCTCTCTGCCCTTAACGATGAGCCATCTTGGCGATTCAGGGAGGAACCAGACGCCACAGGCGAGAATTATTGCTGGCACGGCTTGAAAGGAGAGCGGAAAACGCCAGGAGAAGGCTCCACCGCGAAGGGTACAGCCATATCCCACCCATTGCTGGAAACCTGTTAGTTGGATTATAGCAAACACCCAGCAGCGCGGTTACTCACAGCAACCATGAACCCTAAGCCAATCATCCATTGTTGCATACTAGCTAACATCCCCCGAATCTGTGGCGGAGCAATCTCGCTCTAGGCTCACGTCAGATAAAGCTTAGCAGCTGGACCGTGTACCAACCTACACAATAAACGGGAATAGTGGCAGACATCTGCCCAATTGCCAGGCCCGCGATGCATCGACCGGCGATAAGCATCGCGACACTAACTGCGCCTCCCTGGAGGCCAGCACCCAGAGTGGCAAGAAGACCGCCCATGAAGAGGACCATTCGGCGGCCATAGTAATCCGAAACATATGGGGCGAGGACCGAGCCCACGATTGCGCCTCCTGATCACCAAGATTAGATCCGGATCGCTGCAAGATCTAACCAAGATTGAGTCTCACCGATATACGAGGAAATAATGCCCCCAGCGGCGGCGTCAGACAAAGTTGGAGACCCAAATCGGCGCAGAAAAGCCTCCTGCTCGATACTGGAAGAGATCATGCCCGAATCATAGCCGAACAGGAATGATCCCAGTGCGGCAAAGGCGCAGCAGAAGGTGACGAGGTAGAAAGTCATAGTATGTGTCGCGTGGCTCCATATCCTGGGAGAATCGGCATTAGAGGACGAGGCAATCCATATAAGGCCGAGCTAGAGAAAGTCGGGTTGGCGTTGTTATACATGCCGATCCACATTGGGGAAAGTGGGACGTGCCGCAGGGGGACGAATTGCGAATGGAATGCCATGCGGGATGCGAGGGATCGCCAGAACCGTTTCATGACTAAAATTGCTATAGGGGGATAGTTAACTAGTCAATAGCTTAATTAATACTCTGAAGAACTATGACGCATTTAAATTGGCAATGTTATGTACATAAAGGGCTATTAATGATGCACGTGAACCCAAACTTCGGGAGCCCGATTATAATTGGTTCTCCCGAGGTCGATGTAGGGCGATAGGGCGATAGTCATTTCAATGTCTGCATTCCCCATGTCTCGCGTCACAGGGCTGTCGAAGCATTTTGACGTATTTTGCCTCGTTTCGAAGACCCAGCTGCATGGCACCTGGCCGGGCCCCTTCATGATGACAGCGCAAGGGCGTTCAAGGGTCCAGCACTGTATGTTGTGCATCATACTTTGTACTTTGTAGCGCAATGTTCTTATCGCGTAAGGAACAACCTTGGAAATGGAGTACTGTTGTAGTGATCTGAGGTCACAATATTACAAATAGATTGAGGAATACGTTAGTTATGTACATATGTAGTTAGTTCCTGCCCATGTGACCACCCTTTTCTGTGTCGGGATACTCCGTGTATTATGGTAGGTAGTATGGATGAACCGGCCAATATTTTGAGAATGGTGCTATAAATTCCAAGGAGAACCCATTAATAATAAGATCCCGCTGCAGTTCAGTTTCAAACCCAAAAAACAACACACATTACGGAGTGCATATGGACAATATATGAATTTCCCTTCATACACGAATCGGAGACAAGCGAACATGGCTACTCCGGAGTAAACCAGTCGCCGAACTGACACGGGTCTGGACAAATCGGGCAGTGGAGACAAGGCTAAAAGCCTTAACGAGATACTCGAGTTCCTATTGGACCTGGAAATCGCAAAAATGCCTCAAATTAGAAGGGAAAATTCTGGAAAAATATGACACGGAGCTTTATGTCTCGGCGTCGTGCATTTGTGAACCTCCGATATCCACCTGGTTATAAGGCATATGAATCGTTATGACTAAAACTCGTTTGATCCTTGATCCTTTTCTTGACTGATAGTTATTCGTTCTTTTGTACGGAGTACTCCGTACTCGTATGTACTTTTGAAGCCTTTTGATACTCAACACACCGCTTTCGGGATTAATCATTTCATCATCGTCTCCATTCTCCCCTCTAAGATCCCCCCCTCAGACCAGACCCTTCATCTAGTACTCCAAATTCTGCTTTTCCAACTTCCATTCGAACCGTGCACAACTCGTCCTTTTTCTCCTTGACTCTACTTTCCTTGCAACTATAAGAAAAGTACGATCCATGATCTTTGGTGAAATAGTGATATTCACTTCGGTTCGCCCGCCAAGGCCACAATTTGCCTTTACATGACTCCGTGCATTTTACGGACCTCAGATATCCAGTCATGGCGACTACGACGAGCCCGCTTTCTGGCGAGAATGAGGAGGATCCCGCGCCCATGAACGACTTCAAGTATTCGCATGATGACGATCACCATGACACGTCTACCCATACCTCCACCACAGACCCCAAATCACTGCCTGCGCAAAAGAGACGGCGGGTCGGCCGCGCATGCGACGAATGTCGCAGGAAAAAGATCAAGTGCGATGGCAAACAGCCATGTACTCATTGCACAGTTTATAGTTATGGTACGCAGAGCCCTATGCACTTAAATCTCGGAAAAAGTCCATGTGCCCTGACAATCGTTCTGTAGAATGTTCGTACGACCAACCTTCCAATCGACGTCGAAATCCCGCCCCCCAATATGTCGAGGCCCTTGAAAATCGGCTCCAAAAAGCCGAAGCGCTCCTTCGAATCGTCCTTCCAAATGTCGACCTCGATGATCCGCAACTAGATGTGCATGCGACAGAACAAAAATTTACAGCCGCTCAAAAATCAAAACAAGCGACCGAGGATGTTAAACCGCCGGTTGCACAAGACACAGCGCAAGAAGGGGCAGACGAGGGACTACTTGAAACTATGGTCGACAATTCGGGCTGCTTAGATCGGGATGACCAGGGCCATTGGGATTATCACGGACACACGTCGGGCCTTCTCTTTGTTCGCCGATTGCGCAAACAGTTGGGAGCCACAGATATTATGGGTCCCATGGCACGATCGCGCCCCTCGATAACTGCGCATATGCTGGATAGTCCAAAGTCTATGTCCGAGTCGCCGCAAGACACAACATTACCTCCTACCCATGACCTGCCACCGCGGGCGGTTGCTCGCCGCTTATGTCACAATGCGATCGACCATGCCTGCTCCTTGATGAAATTCGTGCATATACCCTCTTTTTTTGCAAGTCTGGAGCGCATTTATGATACTCCCCCCGAACAATTCACAAACCAAGAGAACACCTTCTTGCCCCTTTTATATATCGTCATCGCTGTTGGCTGCTTGTTCTCGGACGATGAAACGGGACAGGGTACCCTGGATTTGTCTGGCTACGAAGGCGCAATAGGCCAAGGGCAAGTCAAAGTAAATCCGTATTGATTTTTGGGCACCGGCTAATTTCTTTGACAGGTTCCAATTCTTCAAGGCCGGTCGACAACTGCTGGAGATCACCGACTGCCGTGACTTGGTTTCTCTCCAGGCAATCTGTTTTATGGTCCTCTTCCTCCAATCCTCTGCAAAGCTGAGCACGTGCTACTCATATGTGGGAATTGCACTTCGTTCGGCACTGCGATTAGGTCTCCATCGCTCTGTTGCGGCAGACTTCAACCCTCTTGAACGAGAACTTCGCAAGCGCATCTTCTGGGTCGTCCGCAAGATGGACATCTACGTGAGCACTCTCTTGGGTCTTCCCCAGATGCTGAGTGACGACGATATCGATCAAGAGTACCCATTGGAGGTTGATGGTGATTACATTACTTCGGAAGGAATCACTCAACCCCCGTCTAACTATACGCCGCTGATGGCTGGATGCAATGCGCATACTCGTCTTTCCAACATCATTCTGAAGGTGGTGAAATACATCTACCCAGTTAAGAATGCTCGCTATCGCTCCAAGTCTGACCAGCGATACATGGTCAGCCACTCAAAGATTCGGGAGATCGAGCGAGATCTGCAAACTTGGATGGAGGAATTGCCTCCTGCTCTTCGACCGGGCACAGAAGTGTCGCCTCAACTAGAACGGTAAGTCCCAAGGCTACAGTGCTGATGCTTTGTATCAATATGACTGATATTTAACTAGCGTCCGGCAATTGCTGCGTATAAGCTACGCTCACGTGCAGATGGTCATGTACCGCCCGTTCCTCCACTACGTCTCCGGTGGTTCTCAAGCGCGTGGCGTGGACAAGCGGTCATATGCCTGTGCAGCTGCCTGCGTCAGCGTCTCCCGAAACATCGTTCACATCACGACTGGAATGCAAAAGAGAGGACTACTCAATGGGTCCTTCTGGTTCACCATGTATACGACCTATTTCGCTATCCTCTCCTTGATCTTCTTCGTGCTTGAGAATCCAGATTCACCTACAGCCAAAGATGGCGTCCTAAAAGATGCCATGGAGGGCAAAAATACTCTAGCCGGATTGGCCAAGAAGAGTCTTGCTGCCGACCGGTGTTCTCAGAGCTTGAACGTGAGTTCTCATGCCTCCAATTTGGAATCACCTTGGCTAATTATGCTGCAGTGCCTTTTCAAGACGTTGCCCGAGATGTTGAAGAATCGCCAGAGCTCAAAGACTCCTGTCAACCTCAAGCGGCCCGCGCCATCTCACACTACTGAGCCTGAACCGAAGCCTACCTTCGAGAAAACACTTCCACATCGGTCAAGCACTTTCCCAGTGCAGATGATGTCCCAGCCGGCTGTTACCAATGACCAGAATCGCCGACAACGAAGTCTGGACAATGTCCAGCCTGTTGGCAATCGCTCTACCGATATTAATCATCAATCCACATGGACAACCACGCCCGAGCTGCTGACGGAAACCATGAGCACTCCGGAACACGTTTCCCCATCCGGCATGACGCCCTCCATGCCCAACCAAGAGCCATCAAGTCTAGCATGGGCTCAGCAATTCACCAATCCGTCAAATCTCCCAGATCTCATGCCAATGATGTTCCCATCAGACGATCCATTCGCATATCCAACACAGCCCATGTCCACCTTGGAAGATGATCACTTCCGGCACGACCCTGCAGGAATGCCGTCACAGTATCCCTTCGATTCAGCACCAGGCATGGGCCCCAGCACGCCAGGCGACCACTCCAGTGCAGGGGTCTCCACTCCAAACTTTGACTTCACGAACATGCCGAACTTCCCCATCGCAAATGCTGCAGGGATAAAGTCATCAGTGCCAAGCCACCTCCGCCCCTCGCACTCCCGAACTTCGTCTCGCGTCCACTCCCCAATCTCGCAAAGCCATACTCCGGCAGAGGCGATCAGTAGTCCAGACCTAGTCTCAATCCCGAACCAGAATTTCGTCTGGCAGGGCTACAATTTCCAGCCTAACAATCCAAGCGACATGGCAACCGAGTCCGCACCACAACAGCCAGAAATGCCTTTTCCAAATGGATTGCCTGATTTCAGCATGGGCATGGATGAGAATATGGGCATGAATATGGACCTAGGGATCTCCTTTGATGACCTGTTTGGCAATAGTGCCGCGTATCAACCGAGCAATGGTGCGTCCGCTGAGGATTGGGCTCAGTGGATGAATGCCAACAGCATTTGATCTCCGATTTGCGATATTTGGTTTCTCTGCTTTTTTACGAGGATATGCTACCATGAAACCCAAAATCTTAGTGTAAAAACTGTTCATACCTGGTTGGAATTAGGAGTCTCGCTTTTTGCAATTAGCTATATACATAAATTTACACCGGGATTTCTATATCCCTGTCTTCTTTTCGCCTTATGTTGTCATTTTCGGCGATTTGCCCTTGTATATCCCTGCAAGCCCCGAGTAGAAAAGACGCCGAAACTTGGTTTCACCTTCACTCCCACCACCACAGCATCCATTGACGCCTTCGCTACTATCGCGACTGATCTCTTCGTGATTTTTCTCGCCATCTGTTCTCCTCTAGAGCCACTCCGGACCGTCATGGCCTCCGGACTCTTTTTTGATCCCCGTACGCTCCTGCGTACCGCTCCACTCGTCACCTCAACCTGCACACTCTGGTACTCGCTCGACCAGGACTTCTTCCTAAACGTGTTCCTGCACCCCAACCACCGCACCCGCAGTAATGAATTTCTACCATCTTATTTCCGCGCCTTCTTCGGCTTCGGTACCCTACGCGTGGTGACCCTTCTCGCGCTGACGTTGGCTGGAGGCGGATATAATATCTTAACCGAGCGACGGTCGGGATTGGGTAGCTCGGCATCCCTTCCTTGGTATACTGCTGGCACGTTGTTAGCCGCCAGTCACCTTCTCTTCGTACCGGCCATTGCACCTAAGGTCCAGGCTGTGATGGAGGACGCGTCGCAGGGCTCATCGACAAAGGACCTCGAGGGCTGGCTGACCATCCATCGTATGCGCACGTGGACGGTTGATCTGGCTTCGTGGGCCTGTTTTGCTGTTGGAATCTCAATCGTTGGGTGAAGTATGTAAAGGGCAAGACTAAAGAACTTGAACATAAGGCTACATGGCTACATCTGTACATATGTACCTACCAACAAATCGAATCAGTAATATTCACACCGGACACCTCATAAGTTACTCCGGCTCCACCCAAAAGACGACTCCCTCAGCACGTTGTAGCTATTTTGCCAAGTGATACCATGTCTTAAACAAGGAGTAACTTGCCTGGATGTTTTGTTGATGAAGTCATACTCATCTTATCTTCGGGTTAGCCCATAATCTGTTTGACCCACATACCTCAACGTCCAAAACCTTTCCTTCGCAAGATGGCCCTGCACTACACCCTTTCACTATACCCTTTCTTGATCATATTCTTCTTTGCCTATGGGTCTTCATCCGTACCCAGATACGGATCAATTGTAGCATCCGCAAACCTCCTCCCCGGTCGCATGGAGACCTAGCAGTGCAAATCTCCCCTTGTACATTTACCTGGCCTACATATCCCTGTGACTATTTATAGCCAAGCCAATGGCATCAACCCCAAAGTTTTCCACAGTCTTAACCTGGGTTCTCTACTTGATCCCAGTGTATATCTTCATTCTCGACCCGCTAGTGCGCGGATTCTTCCCGAGCCTGCTGGCACCGCCCAGGGACAGCGACGACATCTTCGACGAGTCCAGCGCCCCAGGACCAGGCATCAACCTCACCGACGACAGCTTCATCAGCCCCGAAGATGGCGTACCATTCAACTGCCCCAGCGCAGAGGGGTACCGCGTGCATCTTCTCTCTCACGAACCGCTGATCATATACATCGAGAACTTCATCTCAGAGACTGAAGCGAATCACATACTAGACATGAGGTAATCCACCAATCTCAACCGCAACCGACCCTCGAGGACACGGCTATACACCATAACACATACAAATAACTACAGACCAAGCTAACCGGACGAACCTCCCCCGAATCCCAGCGTGAATAAATACACCCCTTCAATCGTCTACGACGGCCAAACAGAACGAATAGACCCAACAAAGCGCCTCTCCGACCGTGCCCTCCTCGACCGCGACGACACAGTCCGCTGCCTGGAGGACCGCGCTCGCGCCTTTCAGGGCTGGCGTCCAGACCTATACATCGAGCGAATGTGGGCGCAGCGCTACAATGCCTCCGGCCACTATCGCCACCACTATGACTGGGCCGGGTCGCTGGCGCGGGGCGGGGACCGTTTTAGCACGTTTATGGTGTATCTCGATGCGGACTGTGAGGGTGGGGGGACGAATTTTCCGCGGTTGAGGATGCCGGATGGGGAGGGGTGGTGTCGGTTTTTGGAGTGCGAGCAGCGGGATGGGAAGGGGAAGGGGAAGGGAGAGAAGATGGGTATCACATTCAAGCCTATCAAGGGTAACGCAGTGTTTTGGGAGAATCTTCGGCAGGATGGAACGGGGTATCCGGAGACTTGGCACGCTGCGTTCCCTGTTACAAACGGGACGAAGGTCGGATTGAACGTTTGGAGTTGGTACCAGCCAAAGCGGAGGAACCGTTCGGGAAGGTGAGGTGGCACTTGCGCTGAGAGAACAGCATGTGGGTGCTTTCGGTCGTCTGCCTAAGCCACTGGCTAAGCTATGCTCCCAGGAGTACCTGGAATGCTTGGGCTAGGCCCTTGTGAAGATGACAAGGTTAGGTATATTGTATATCAGGGGTAGTCTGACATGTCAGGCCAAGATGTTACAAATAGAATAGAATTAGATAGGGGGACACTTATAGAAATTGACGTAGAACATATGTGGTTACATAGAAACTTCAGATGCCTCTAGCGCCCTCGGAATCCGAAACCAATCTAGTCAATGCATGCCGGCCGTAACAAGGGCACCAGGCAGCCGGATTAATCAGAGGACTGGTCACACTTGTGGACAATGTCAATACCGAAAAGATATGAACTTCGTCATACCAAGACTCCAGATTCCAAGACCTGAGTCTTGGTCCTCCGGAGCGGGAATTATTGGCAAGAGGAATCACTTGGCTGCCAAGAAGCATTGCCCATGGGATTGTTTTCTTGGAAGTTTGCTTGGCGAAATGAACACGCCACTCCTTGTTTCGTTCTTAACTTCATTTCCCTTTCTAATATTGGAACCTTGAGTTGAACCGGTGAGGCCGCCAGACTATTAATCTTACCTTGAATTTACGGTATGTTTGCACTAAGCTGATTTAGGGTGGACGGACGTACTTTCATTTATTAGATAGGCCAGTTATGTACGGAGTACGGAGTTCAGCCGTATCCAAAATATGTAAAATACATAAAATTACTAAAATTATATTAAAAAATACCGTACTGTACCCTACTGTGCTACGTGTTAGCTCTGGAATGCTCACACACAGCCCCTCGTTTCCCTTCGGTCCACCAGTCAAAAGCCATGGCGCCAACGCCTCTTGGTCCTTGGGGCCCGCACCGACGCTTGGCCCGGTCTTGGTCTGCTCGTTTCTCTCCTTGTCCTTCCGCCAGGCTTAGCAAAGCGGTATTTTCTGGGCAAAGGCTCGGCTCCTTTTCCTCTTCTGCGGAGAAACCCCATTTTCTCTCTCCCACTCTTTCCCCTTTTCCTTCCTGCCTCATTGTATACATATAGGGTGTTTTCCCTATAGTTGTCTGATCCTCTTAGTTTGTATTCTTTTGGTCTCCTTCGCTCTCTAGGCTTTCCGCCAACACCAGATCGAGTTTCTTGGCACCATGACGGAGAACCATACCCCTTCTACTACGCAGGCGACGTTGCCTGCGCCTGTTACTGAACCGGCGCCGATCCAGGCAAACCCGGCTCCTTCTGCCTCAGTCACGGCGACTGCTGCCGCCGCCACGGCGGCGGTGAACAGCCCCTCAATGAACGGCGCCGGTGAGCAGTTGCCTTGCCAGTGGGTCGGTTGCACGGAGAAGTCTCCCACTGCCGAGTCTCTATATGTAAGCTTGCTCAATCAATTTCAATCCGAAAAGATGCTAATATATTCCGTATAGGAGCATGTTTGTGAGCGTCACGTTGGACGTAAAAGCACCAACAATCTCAACCTGACCTGCCAGTGGGGCACCTGCAACACCACAACGGTCAAGCGCGATCATATCACCTCCCATATCCGCGTTCATGTGCCACTTAAACCTCACAAATGCGACTTCTGCGGCAAGGCTTTCAAGCGCCCCCAGGATTTGAAGAAGCATGTCAAGACCCATGCGGATGACTCCGAGATCCGCTCCCCCGAACCGGGCATGAAGCATCCTGATATGATGTTCCCGCAAAACCCTAAGGGTTATGCTGCTGCAACACATTACTTCGAGAGCCCTATCAACGGTATCAATGGCCAATATTCACACGCCCCGCCGCCACAGTACTACCAGCCACACCCCCCACCTCAGGCCCCCAACCCGCATTCCTACGGCAATGTATACTATGCCCTGAGCCAAGGACAAGAGGGAGGCCACCCCTATGACCGTAAGCGCGGATATGATGCGTTGAACGAATTTTTTGGCGACTTGAAGCGCCGTCAGTTCGACCCTAATTCCTATGCTGCGGTCGGCCAGCGTCTGCTGGGTCTCCAGGCCCTTCAGCTTCCCTTCCTCAGTGGCCCTGTGCCTGAATACCAACAAATGCCTGCGCCTGTTGCAGTTGGCGGCGGCGGTGCTTATAGCGGTGGTGGTCCCCAACCTCCTGGCTACCACCTCCCGCCCATGTCAAATGTTCGGACTAAGAACGATTTGATCAACATCGATCAGTTCCTCGAGCAAATGCAGAACACTATTTACGAAAGCGATGAGAATGTGGCAGCTGCCGGTGTTGCCCAGCCCGGCGCACATTACGTGCATGGTGGCATAAACTATCGCACCACCCACTCTCCCCCGACCCAGCTCCCACCAAGCCACGTTACTGCAACTACCTCAGCCCCGATGGCGGCTGCTTCGGCCCACTCCCCGTCGGTCGGCACCCCAGCCCTGACCCCGCCTTCCAGCGCACAGTCGTATACATCCAACCGCTCTCCCATCTCCATGCACAGCGTGCACGCTCACCGCGTGTCGCCCCCTCATGAGAGCGGCCCGGGTATGTACCCTCGCTTGCCGTCGGCCACTGTCGCCGACAGCATGACTGCAGGCTACCCAACCGCCTCAGGTGCCGCACCACCCTCTACTCTGAGCGGTGCGTACGACCACGATGATCGTCGCCGCTACACTGGTGGTACCTTGCAACGCGCCCGGCCGGCCGAGCGTGCTGCCACCGAGGACCGCATGGACATCTCCCAGGATAGCAAGCATGACGGCGAGCGCACTCCCAAGGCTATGCACATCTCGGCGAGCCTGATTGACCCCGCTCTGTCGGGTACCTCGTCTAACCCCGATCAGGACTCAGTCAAGCGTACTGCGCAAGCGGCGACTGAAGTCGCCGAGCGGGATGTCAACGTCGCCTGGGTTGAAAAGGTCCGCCTGCTTGAGAACCTACGCCGTTTGGTTTCTGAATTGCTTGAGGCCGGTAGCCTTACTCCAGAATATGGAGTGCAGACCTCCTCGGCTTCTCCTACGCCAGGACTTGATGCCATGGAGGGAGTCGAGACTGGCAGAGTACGTGGTGCTTCTGAGCAGCCCAGGCAAGAGCCCAAGTCTGAAAGTGAGGGAGTCTTCTATCCCACATTACGTGGTGTGGATGAGGATGAGGATGAGGATGGGGACTCCAAAATGCCTGAGTAAATTCTTCGTCTCTTTCTGCCTCTACTGGCTATAGCTTGATTCACGCCGTGACGACATTTGTTTATTGCCTCTTTTTCCTGTTCGACCCCCTGTAAGGTCTTCTTTGTTCGTTTTAAGGCTGGTCTTTTAATTTTCTTCAACGGAGAAATTATCCGTTTCTTTCTGATGCTTTTTCAGGTACTTTCATCCTAGGTTTGGTCCTGTTTGTATGATTATTAGGTAGGGCTCTATGGAACTATTCAACTGTTTATTTACGTAAATTATTGTTTGCGTCTTTGACTCTTGTTGCATCTGTAGAAGCTTGGGGTGATCGAAACCGATGTTACTGTCTTTTAGATCGACATGTCAAACCCAAAGAGGCAAAGCAACATTCCAAGCTAAACCAGATCCGGGGAGTGACGCAAACGGGCAGATCTCGTCTTTATCAATCTGGGGATTTGTGGATGAAGTACCCCGTAGGTCAATCAGAATTAATTAAGATTGAGATAGGTGTTTGTATGGCTATGTACATAGTAAGAAGAAGACAAAGAAGCAGGGTATCTACGTTAAGTACGCATGTAGGGATTATAGAATCTTGTGTACATGTATACAATCTCTGCATCTGGATATGAAGTTCCACTCTCTGCACTCGGAAACATCCTCAATCCCACGCTGAGCACGTGCTTGTATTGGTATTTCACTCCAATCTCCGCCTATCGGTGGACTTTTCCTGTATTCATACACCGTTATGACAAACTCCACCACTCTGTTTACGGTGACATCCTAACTCTTCATTTTCTTTTCTTGTGCACTTTGTTTTCTCTCTTATTTGTCTTTCCTATATTCTCTCTCTTCTCCCTCATCTTTCTTCTCCTTTCTGTATTTCTATATTTTCCTTTTTGTGGTGTTAGACACGCTCTCTCTCCACGCGACAAGGCGGTCACCCCAAACAGACGCCATTGCGCGTGTCGATCGGCCTAGGGATTATCGATAATAACATCCAGCCACACAATATCAATCTTTCGATTGGGGGAGTTTTTGTTTAAAAAAATCAAAGAGAGATCCAGCCTCTTGGTCTTGTTTACAGTCTAACTGGCTTCTCTCTTTTTTTCCCTTTTTTCCATTTCCTTTCTTCTGTGGTGGCAAACCCATACTCTGACGTTCTTCGTTCTCTGGTTCTACCTCTGAACGGTCTTCCGATTCTGCGCTGAAATCCGAAACCAACCTTGGAAGACTTTTGTTTTCTTTTTAAACTCTGTGTTTTGCCTTTTTCGCCTTCGGCTTGCCATATTTCCTCTATACTGCCCCGCGCTTGTTTGTGGAGTACTTCGACTCGGACTTGATTGCCTACGCAACGGGAAGAAAAAAATAATCATTTACGATCCGACTTCGACTACCCAATATATCATACCGGAGGGAAGGAAGAACTTCCATAAAGATATGCCGCTCACAAACCGCCGCCGGGCGCGGCGCAAGGAAATTCAACTACAAGAAACATCCGATGCAGAGGCTCCGGACTCATCGCCCAGCCGGCCATCCGCAAAGAAGCGCAAGGTGAGTTAAAACAACAAAGCGTCTAGTCTGAGACAAAATATACCCCCGCGCAAACAGGAGCTAAGACCCGTTTCCTTCTGATCCGCAGGTTGACCGCCGCACCTCTCCTCCCCCAAACGTCAAACATGAGTCCGGCGACGAAGCCGAAGACTCAGCGGGCGAACACGAACCCGCTACCAATCAAGACCTAGTTGATCTAGTTATTTCATACTTGAGCACACCCCGCGAGGAATTGCGCGTGTCACGCGACCACTCCAACAGCAAGACTGAGAATACACAGCGAATCCAGGCTTACGCTAAGATCGCCGGCCGCAACTGGACCTATTACGTCAAAACTCTGCATGTCAATATCGGCCGCGAACCGGACCGCGAACAGCGGGCTGTCGAACAGTCCAGCCCTGTCACAATTGCGGCTCGTGCGCTGCCAGATGTTCATGTCGACTTGGGTCCCAGCAAATTTGTGTCGAGACTGCATGCCGAGATCTTTTATGATGGCGAGGAGAACCCTGCCTGGCACATCCGTGTCAACGGCCGGAACGGTGTGCGCCTGAACAATGGCATTGTGAAGCGCGGCACAGACGTAATTCTTTCATGTGGCGACATCATCGAGGTGGCCAATACACAAATGATGTTTGTTACGCCCGGCGACGAAGCAAATATCCAACCCAGCTTTATAGAGCGCGCCCAGCGCATTGCTAGCGGACAGGAGCCCGATCCGGCTTCCGTTTCCTGGGATGCTTCGCAGCATGCTCATCCTCAGCAATCCCAGAACAGCGAGGCTGCGCGACCATCTTCATCTGGCGGGCCTTCGTTGGCGCCTGCTCCGAACTTCATCAAGCGCCAGGTGACGCCCCCGCCGCGGTCGCCTGATACCGCTGGCCAGCGCACGGCTAAACAGTCCCCGCTTTACAACCGAGGCATGATGATGGAGAGCACAGAGGAGATCGATTACAGCAATGATTCCTCCAAGGACTTGAAGCCGCCGTATAGCTATGCGACGCTGATTGCTCAGGCGATCTTCTCAAGCGAAGAGGAGAAGCTCACGTTGAACAGCATCTACAATTGGATCAAAGATAAATACGCTTTCTATCGACACTCCCAAAGCGGCTGGCAAAATTCGATCCGTCACAATCTCTCGCTGAACAAAGCGTTCCAGAAGGTCCCCCGCCGGACCGACGAGCCGGGCAAGGGTATGAAGTGGCAGATCGCAGAAGAGTATCGGGAGGAGTACCGGAAGAAGCAAACACGGAAAGGCGGCACACAATCATCTGCCCCGTCCTCACCAGCGACAAAAGAGCCCCCGTCATCAGCACGCGGAACTCACGTTAGCAAACTCGACACCTCGTTCTCAGCGACAGCGAGAAAGTCACCACCCGTTTCATCCCCAGGCTTCAGCTCATTCCCCGTAGCTCCAGTGGAAGCATACACACCAGAGCGTGGTTCCCGGCTCGGTCGAGGCCTCGGCTCCGACCACCCACTGCGACATATGAACCCACGCGACTACGACGAACCGTCGCCGCTCCCATCGCGCTCGCACAATCACAACTCCAGCATCTCCACGCAGGTGCAAAACAGCAGCAACAACCTGGCCCGCGCGTACGGCATGTCCGACAACGTAGCCGGGTCCCCGCCAGTCCTCTCCTCGTCCTACTACAACGAAGAACCCTCCTCGATGATCACCCCCGCTCCACAACGCCAACAACCCCGCCTCCCGCCCCCCAGCACAGCACAGATCCCGTCGAAGTTCATGCCCATGAGCTCGCCCGCGCAGTTCTGGAAGTTCGCTGATATCGGGAGTACCCCTGCCCGCCCGCCGCCGGACATGAGTCCCCTGAAGGGCGAGGTCGAGGACCGCATTATCGGTGGGTTCCCGAGTAGCTCTCCGCCCCCCCCGAATCTTGTTAGTCCTAGTAAACCTGGGACGTCGAATGGGATTGGCTCGGGTCGGACACTGCCCCCGCTCCAGTCGGACTCGCGGGATATGGGACCCAATGGGCAATCTAACGTGCGGAACGAAGAGCGGGACGAGGATGAAGATGATAATGGATCGGGTTTTGATCTTGCTAGGTATGTTGACTTTTTACACTGAGGTATTACTCAATTGGCGCGCAGGAACTAATACTATTCTTAGGGGGTTTGAACCTATTGGCTCGTACCATCGACAACTAGGCAACGCTGCCCGTGCGGCTGCTACTTGATGGACTGCGATGGTTGGCAGACTATCTTGTCTTATGATGTACAACATGTCCACTTTACAGACTGTGTCCATGTGTTTTTACTACTTGCTTCATGCTTCATGCTTCCGCATTACGAATGGTGTTGGTGGGTTGGGTCATTCTTATACTTGCGTTTTGATTTTTTTTGCTCTACACTGTCATTGTTTTAGGAGCAGAGATATCGGGGATCGGAGTTTCACTTGATTTTCTCTCGGACGGCGTTGTTTTTGTCTGCTTTCTCGCTTTTGCTTGTCACCCCGTTCTAGATGGCCTTGTATGTACGGGCTTCCAGTCAGATATATGATATCTTACATACAATATTCTTAAAACTGCGAATGAATATGCACGGTAGATCGTAGTGACGTTTAGAGTTGATTTACAGATGATCTAGAGTTATTCAGCAACAGTCGGCCAAAAATTCTCCTCCAACCAAACAATCTGCCTCCACCACTCCAAACACCTTCCCCGCGTGATCTCCAACTCCTCCGCCCCCTTAATCTGTCCCGCCATCTCATCAAGCACATCCCCAATCCGATTAACAAACTCCTCGAACTCAACACTCGACCAATTCTGAATAAACCTCTCCCTCAACGCACCCCCATCCGCATCCTTTTTATAATCCTTCTCCCCATCTTCCCGCATACACTCGGCCGCAAACCTCCAAGCCCTAAGATAACAAACTTCCGTAGCCCACAAGACCGCCAACCCCTCCAAAGTAGAAACCCCACTACTCCCCGCAGACATAAACATATCAATATAAGCCCTAGTCGTCCGGTTCGCACAGAAGAAAAGAGTCCCACACCGCTCACCACCCTGCACACCCACTTTCCCCCCAGCATCCCCAACATCCCCATCGACAGCAGCAGCCGTGTCCACGCCGCGACCAGACTGATTGAACTGCGGTCCAGGCGCACAGACTTCCCCACCCCCACCAGGCATCTGACACTCTCCCTGACTCTGACACAGACCGTGTCCGGGCGCGCTAGTCGACGGGACACATGCACCGGGGTTCCCGTTCTTATGCGGACCTTCGTCATCGCCGCCCGTAAAACCCGGGCAGCTTCCGGAGCCCGTGGAGGATATACCGGCTGAGACGGTTATGTCTGAGCCCTGGCCGCAGGAGGTGAGGGTGCAGCCGCCTTCTTCGGCGGAGATTGCTGTTAGATCTAGGGAGTAGTCGTTCGCTGTTTTTTCGAAGAAGGAGAGTTCTGTGCGGATGTTGACGAGGGCGTCGATGAGGACGGTTATGGCGTTTTGTTCGGGGCTTGGGGTGTGCGGGGTTGGTGAGGTTGGGTTTTGGATGGGCAGGCGGATCTTCGAGAGGAGGAGGCCTATGAATCGGATGTAGGATTGCGCGTATAGGCGGTCTTGGGAGAGCCATTGGCTTAGTTGGGCTTTTGGGAGGGTGCCGCGGCCTGCGGAGGCGAGGAAGGGGTGGTTTGTTGCGCGCTTGAGGGCATTGGGGGTGCTCGATAGCAGGTAAGCGGTTAGGGGGCCTCGACTTGTCATTTTATTTTTTCTTTGCTTTTGGAGGTGATTGTCTAAGGTGGTCGTTCGAGGTGGTCGGTGTTGGAGGGGGAGATTGAAGATTAGGATTGCGGGTTGCGGGATAGGGGCGATAGTGGGATGAACATGATATGTCGTCAGTAGGACATAACATCGGGGTATATCATTCCACAAGTCACTTTTCGCAGTCGGTTACTTGTACTCCGTATATTACTTAGAACGAGAAAAGATTTTGGTATCAAATGAGCGGAGATTTTCATTCAGCTCAGACCATAGAAAGCTAGATCTAGCCATACATCCCCTTTGTTTTGTTTTTTTTTTAAAGAAAAATTTCCACACATTTTCGATCTCACGCATTCTGTTCAAAATTGAAACCTCACTGGGCCCATTCATCCTTTCAAGGGCATCCGACGAGGTATGGTCAAACGATTCTCAAACTTGACTTCACGGTTCCAGTCATTCCTCACTCTCCCACTTGGATTGACAATCGTTACAGTTGGATGTCAGCCTTAATGACTCCAAACGGGGTCTTCGTCGGTCTTGTCGTCAACTTGTTCACACATTGCAGCCATGAATTTAGACATGGGCACGTCGCGCTTATCCTTGCCTCGATCCTTGGGATCGACCGTGACATCGGGCTTATGGTTCCGCTGATCGTCGGGCTTAACATTGGACTCCTTGTTACCGACTTCAGCACTCTCATATCCCCACGGCTTCTCTCCGGCTACTCTCAGCATCAATCGCACAAGAGCTTGCAAGGTGTAGTGTGCGTCATTCCCGGCATTGTGCAAGTCAGGACTCAAGATATTCAGTAATCCTAGCAGTGCCTGGAGGCCTCGCGTCTGGTTCTCCTCATAATTAACGCGGTACAGCTCTGCCACGTCGACGATTTCACGAATGACTGAAGAGGTTTCCTTCAGATTGACAAAAACTTGGCTTCCCGCTCTCTGGAGATGCGCGATGTCACCGTGAAGGTCGAGACCGACCAAGATCACAGTGCGCTTCTGCTTCTTGTATGGGGCAATCTTTTCTTCCTTTGAGGGAACCATGTATGGGGGATGGAACGCAGCATCTACAACGTTCCCGATTTCGGCGCTGGGCATTATCTCACTCTTGCCGAATCGGAAGCTACCAGGACATCCGACGGTGTAGGTCTCGTTGACCCAGTTTCGGTACTCCTTCACACGCAGGTGGCGGGTTCGAATTTGTTTCAGCCACATGTTTCCATAGTCGCCAGGGACCACGCCTTCCAAATCCAACATATCCAGGGTCGAAATTCCGACCTCGGTCAGAATGCCGTAACGGTCCATCCACTCGAGATCAACGCTGATAAAAATGGGGGCATCTTGAAAGGCCCATTTGACAGGCTTTAGAACGTCAATTGCTTGGACCTGGCCATTGGCAAACGACGGCTGTGTACCATTTGGCTGCAACGCAGGACGCAGCCCAAAGTAGGCTTGCGCACGACCTAGGCACTCCTGCAACTTCTTCGTTCGGGCATCTCGGGCCGCCTGCTTCTGGGCGCTCTTCTTGGTCTTGATTGTGGCGAGAGACTGTTTGATTTTCTTCTGAAAGTCCTCGAAAACATGGGGCTCAACCAGCTGTGCCCAGGGTCCCCAGTTCTCCGGCGGCGAAGGAACCTTACTCTCCAATTTCGCCTTCCGATCACGAGTTCTGCTTCGGCCAAGGTACACAGGTCGCGGCAGTTTTTCATTGTCGATTTCAATCACGAGGCCTTCCTTGCCAACGCCCGTGAGAGTCAAATTGATGTTCAGAGCCGAATTGATCTCATCGAGCAGTGCTTGAGCTTGGAAAGTGGGAATCAAAAGAAATGGGGTGTGAGAGATAACCCTCGGGACAGACAGATAGTACCTGGGTGAGTATTAGCGACGATGTACTTTGCTAATTAGTTCTAGGTTTCACAAACAGATCCCAGGTCCGATTCCAGAACTTATCGCCTTCATAGAATCGTTGATCAACTCTCTTGGCATCATCTCCGTGCAGATATTTGAAAGGGAAGCGAGCCATCGTGACGGCCGGCGTGAACAACTTGGAAATCGGGATCGCAGTCACCAGCTCCTCGTCGGAATCGATGTCAGAATTACCGCCGCGCTCATCTTTGGGCGGGACCGAGAGATTAAGGCGCATCTTCGGAGTACGACGGTGGGGACGGCCATCCTGCTTGAGCTTGGTCAAAAGCTTGTCTTCCGACTCAGCTAGCTGCCCAACCACATGGGTACGAATGTACGACAAAGGAAATTGGCCACCCTCGGGGTACTCCATACCCTCCTCCGGCTTGAAATCGACTGGGAGAGCATATCCACTTACGCCTTGCTTAGCTTTTGACTCAGCAACCGGATCGGCTCCATCCGCACTTTCGGCAGTTTGGACGGCTTTAGCCTGGTTCAGGTGGGTATTCAAGTCTCGGAGACCCTCGTCTCCTTCCAGGAGCATCTTGAGACGCTCGCGAGCATCCATCTTAAAGACTGAGATAAAGCTTCAGCAAAATCGTGGAGTGTGAGATGAAGAGGAGAAGGGGGAGAAATAAAAAAATATAAGCAAACGCGCCAGGACGCGCACGTTGGGCCTTTGAGACTAGAATTTCTCGATTTGGAAGGGACGATTAGCAGGGAAAGAACGATCAATTTGGGGCTAAGGATCACAACCAACTGGCGAATCTATCATGATCAGGTTAGTAGATGTGTACATGTAGCTCGCAGTAAAGTACATTAAAGAAACTGGTGTCTCTCTTTCTTCTCTGTCTTCTCTTTCTTCTCTCTATGGCAGTAGTATACATACAGGTGACACTGTCTGATAATTGAGGATGTCAGTGGGCAATAGCAACAATCAATTTTTTGGTCTGGCTTTATCTGATGGAGAAATAAATACTAAGCACTTTAGTTTGACTTTCAAAAGTCAAATGAAATTAAATCAACCCTTGAATAAAAGCACAAAGGTTGAGTATAGATATGACCATCGACTTTCGAACATAGACCTACAAAGTAGTAGCATATAAAGAATTGAGACAGAGCAGCATTGGGTATTTGTTACAGAGATTCTCACAATGTCAAGGTGTTACATATGTATTATGTATACAACAATCTATAGGATGGATGGATGTATTTTGATTCAAATACAAATATATGGCCTGTAATGCTGCAATATCGATCTACTTTTGTGGCTCTAGCATCCTCGCTACAGCAACCCCTTATATTTTTGTAAAAGCTTCATAATCGACCGGTTTTCACTCCAGGAGAACGGGCTGGAGGTCGGTCTACTTTCTGACAGTGACCTTTCAGAATGTAATTTGCAGCAAAACGGGACGACAAGGTTATGGACTTATTAGTATACGTATGTATATTTTATTCAAGTGTTGACGAAAACCAATGCAGGGCCAATTTGCTCAAAGTCTTATCATGGGCTAACCTTAAGCTAGTTTTATTTGTACGCATTGTGTAGTTAGTTGGCTTAATAAATGCTGTTTATTCGACATAATCGTGTGGCGTCGCTATTACGCAGGAAGTAAGCACATATTGATGCCTGTCAGGGTATTCAATAGCTCATATTAATTCGCAGGCCTCTTGGCGCCTGGAATGACTCACTTGATCTTCTTCCAGCCTACGGCAACGTCCTGCTCTAGGAGACTTTATGCACATTCATCATCGCTGTCGGGTTCCACAGGCTCAGTTCCCGCCGGCTCAAACTGGGTGACCATATCCAACATAAGCGCTTTTCGGTCGCTGCCGATAACCGGCATCCAGTTACACTCTTCCGTTGAAGAACTATCCGGGACGTGCTTCATCGGAAGGATCTTGCCAGTTTGTATGTTTTCGAAGTCGAAGGACATCAGGCGTTCTCTATGATACTTTGCAGCCTCACGAAAGGGCCTGCCACAATTCTCATCCGATCATCAAGCCTATACTTGCGGAGGCAGCAAGCACGAACCACAGTCGATACCAGCAAGCAGGTCTTCCACTATCATAATCGACAAAGTCCAAGACCATGTCGTACAGCTACTCGGGAGAATGCCTGCCGATTTGGATGCTGCGTGGCGGCTCGCGGTGATTTCGAAGAAGTCGACAAGCGCTGCGAGTCCGGGGAACTGGCTTCGTAGTCTTCGGATTGTACCAGTGCAGTTTGACCTCATGATGAGTTCACTGCGCCGGCGCCGAACCTGCATCCCAGGGTTCAGCTCCGGTCGCTCGCGCGGAGGTGTGCTCGCGCAATAATCTGGACGCAGAGGCGAGAGATCGACAGCATCGCTGACTTTAATGAATGGCCCCACATCAACATCAAAGGAGACTCCTGCAAAGGCCACTTCGAAGAGGGATAAGATGACGATCTGAAAGTTGGCGCGTCCCTGCTCGATTCCCCGGGTAGCGGCCTTCGTGATGGACTCACCGTCAACCACCAGTGCAAGACTGACAAGTACGTCCTCGAGCCAGTACATCGTCTCCATGGGCGACGCCCCTGAAAGCTCGCCCGGTCGATGGGACAGGGAGCCGAACTCCAGTAACGGAGCGGTATCGCCAGCCCACACCTCGTCAAACCTCTAGGTAAGTGCTTCAACTGGCAGTCCCACCATGCGCAAGTTCGAGGGTTACACAGCTGAGCGGGGAAAGAATGGAATTTGGCCTGGCTAGACGTAATTGAGACGAGAGCAAAGTGAACTCGCGAAAGGTAAAAGAGTCCGGGCTCCACTCCCTCCCGAAGTAATGATCGCCTCCTTGTATTCAATCAGAGTACCGGGTAGAACGTGTGTAAGCAACGCCTTCGGTTGTCTCCGCGATGTCTGTCCTCGGGATTACGAGGCGGAAGTCAGATTCGATCCCCCATTTTCGCTCGCGAAGCTCCAAAGCTGGCGAGGTGACATACTCTTCCGGGCAAATGTCGAGTGAGATGGCGGGCTGGCCATAAATGCTGTCTGCAATGGCTCGAAGCCATAGTTCGTCCTGGCGCGGGATATTGCCCAGCTTCAAGCGTATGCTGTGGTTCACGGCGAGGACTTCATGATCGAGGTTGATGATGTAAATGTACTCAGCATAGTCATTCAGTCGTGGAATCTCGGAAGGAAGCGACTCAAACTCTTGAAACTGCGACTAGTCGGGTTTGAAGCCGTCGCGAATCTCATAGACATGTCTTTGGAGAGCACTTTCCTTAGCCGCATTCTCGGCTCGCATGGACTCGAGCCATTCTGCAAGCATTAGCATAGTGTAAGGCAAATATCTTTCTTCACAGCGTACTACGGTATCTCTCGGGGTCGGCTGGGATGCTGGCGACTATTTTAGCCCCGAGACCTTCGAAGTAGGAGTCAAATTGATGATACGAATGTAGTAACGCTTGCGGAAGCGCACTATCTCGAGGCCTCGAGTTCCCATTGCGATCTAGGTGGAACTTTCAGGGCTTGAGTGGAGCAGGTACCAAAGAGAGAGAATTGGGCGATGGAGCTGGTGAGTGGGTATTGATTACTAATTTCTAATTGGTGGCGACTGGCTGACTAAGCTTTGACATCGCGAATTTTACACCTCCACGGCTATACCAACATATGTAGGTAGGAGATGATGGATTAACGAAGTTTGTAGCAAGTAGCAAGGGCAATATTTCGTTATTACTACAGTGGATAAAATGAAGCAACCATTGCGAGTGTACATTCGTTATATGCGGGTCCGAGTTGCTATAACTGGGTTAATGGATGGATATATTCACGTGATTGGGAGCTCCCCAGACGGCATTGGAACAACTATCATCCGCTATTTTAGGACCTCGTGCAGCAAGGGCACCCAGCTCCATCTGTTATCTGACGCCTAGACCCCCTCGATGTCCTCATTTATCATCGCAGGATCGCACTGAACTTGGCATATCTCAACATCGATTGCAACTTCAAGGCGCAGCCCCCCTTCCACACCCTATCAACATCCACCACTATCGTGCTAGAACATGCCCATGACCGACGACACAGACGACAGCGGAGGGGTTATCCTAGACGGCCCCTTCGATCCTGACGCGCAGGCTACGGTCACAGACTTTATCGACTATACCGAATACCTCCCTGCAGACTTGATCCGCTCCTTGACCCTCATCCGCGGCCTCGATGACCGATACCTCGACTCGGCGCAAGAGGTGCACCAGCTCACTCGAATCTACGGCCAGCTCCCAGACCTTCCTTCAGATAAGCGACCGGGCGCAATTGCGCTGCGCAAAGACATATCTTCTCAGGTCGATCGTGCGATCAATGCGCGTGAATCGGCATATGCAGAGGCCTGTCGCCTCTACGATGTTGTAGATCGCCACTTCGACCGGTTAGGCTGCATCCGCCAGAAACTAGAAGCACTGCCGAAACCTGCCTCAGAGGAACCATCGCCCCCGCCCGAACCTACACTGAAGCGTGCGCGCGGAGGCAAGAAGACCAGCAAAGATGCCACGACGCGTATCACAATTCGGTTAGACAACAATCGCAATCGGAGAGATAAGAATAGGAGGCGTATGCTAGGTGTTGATGGAGCATTTGACCCAGACTCTCCGCTTGCCAGTACTGAGCAATCAGACTTGGAGAGCGAACTTGTTAAATCTGCCCCTAAGCCCGCTCGGCCCCCAAAGAAGGAGAAAGCGCGTCGCCTGAGCTTGGGTACCGGGCAGTCGACAGCCCAGGCCCTTGCGCAATTGAAACCGCCGCCGGCTGATGCGAAATTGGGCAGTGAGGACCTGCCATGGCTGCGATTGACGGAATGGGAGATGACCAGGCTGCGGAAGAAGATGAAAAAGAATGCTGTGTGGCAGCCGAGTGAAGTAATGATTCACCGTGAGCTAGCCCTGGCAAACCGCGGTTGGGAAGCATATCGTGCAGCCAAGACCCTGGCGGAAGAGACGGGTGGGGAGTTCATTGACTGTGACAATATTGAGGAAACCCGGCGCGGGGAAGCTGCCAAAGACCTGGAGGAGACGAAGCTGAGCAATCGCGGAATGAAACTAAACGAAGCAAAGAAGTTGAAACGCGAACAGTTGGCCCGTGAACAAGCATTGATGGAAGGCGAAGGTGGTGTCTTGCTCAGGCCGTTGCCAAGCCCCGCCCAAGCACCCCCAGCCGCGAATCGATCATCACGGAAGAGGAAACGGGAAGAGGCTAACCTCGAAGCAACAGAACTTGCTGCTTCCGAGCCTCCAAAACCTACGGCAGTTGCTTCGCCGGCCGTACCGCCCACCGCTGTCCCTGTGGCCCCTACCAGGGCTGGTCCATCTCGGCGCAGATCAAGCAGAGGAGCCGTTCCAGCCACAGAAACCAACAACGACATCCTCCCTGTCAAGACCCACATGTCCCCCGCAGTTGAAGCCAAACTCTCCCCTCCTCTCCCCAGCCCCAAAGGCTCCGGGTCCAATCGATCCCTTGTCCAACAGGTCACTACACCCACGCCGCCCGTCACCCGGCCCTCATCGCGGCGCTCTGCAGCCGCCGCCTCAATTGAAGGAGGGGCCCACAGTAGCATCCCGACCGCAATAGCAGCAAGTGGACGCGATCGCCGTATCAAAAGTGCAACACCTGCGCACAAAACACCTATCCGCGAGTCGTCACATGCGCCGAGTGTTCCCGGCCTGACCCGCCGGCGCAAGCGTCCGGCACCAGGACCCATTTCCACTGGTCAAGATGGCGGCGCATCAGTAAGCTACGGGCGCCGCAAAGCCAAGCCAGGAAAGAAGCGCCTCAGCATCCGCGACTCCCAGGATGTCCGTGTGGACGAAGACGGCGTCCTTGAGCAGATCGACGCCAATGAGCCTCGATACTGTCTCTGTGGAGATGTTAGTTTTGGAACGATGATCTGCTGCGAGAATCAGGATGTAAGTATCCCTATTATGACAAGTTCCAGCAGAATGCTAATATCCTAATTCGATGCAGTGTGACCGTGAATGGTTCCATCTCAGCTGCGTGGGTCTGACTGAAGTTCCCTCTCGCACGGCCAAGTGGTACTGTCCTCAGTGCCGCGTCAAGCTCCACAAGGGTGAAGATGGGATCATCAAGGGGGGATCGCGACGTTAATTGGATTTGAATGATGTTTCTTGCATGATACCACGAGATGCGTTTGCTGCTACTTTTTTTTCCCTATTTGTGTACGGAGTACTGCCATATGGCTTGTGGGCTTCCAGCCTTTTCTTTCTTTCTACCAAATAATCATTATTTAACAATCTTGGAAGCATTATTGCGATATTTGCGAGGCCACAGCTTCCGACCTTAAGGCGCCAACGACTGATATCTCTCCGGGATTTTCCTGGGAAAGAGTCCGAGTGGGAGAAGTCGACCGAGGCGCAGATCTTGCTTGAACGAACCAAGGCCCGCCTGAAACTCGGTGGGACCGAAACAAAGGCGACGAGACAGTCGTTGCATAAGCGGCAGCAATCAACCATGAATTATTTCGTCACACACCGGCGAGATATTACGAAGGCAATACTTGGATCAACGGACAAAAAGGGAAACCCTGATGCATCGGCCCCGGGGGGTAAGCCCCGGTTCGCAGTTCTTCTCAGCGGGGAGATTCTGACCCAGTGCACCCGCTGCGGTATATGCATTAGGAGCGAGCACAAAAGCAGCTGGCTGGGCTGTATAGGAAGCGTTATGCAATGAATCCGGCGTATGCCGCGGTGGGTGCCCTGGGCCAGAATCTCTTTGTTGAGACGACCAATCCAAACGCTGTCGTAATGCGTTGAGGGCACCCTGAAGAATGGACGAATTCGACCTTCAAAAAGTCTCACAGGAGCACCTATCCTTTTCTACCAAAGAAGGATGGAGGACATTGCCTATGTGTGGACTACCCTGGGCTCAAAACCTAAGCGCCCAAAGGAGCCAAGAAAGATACACAATACATGGCAATTTGTTGTCTGCTTCTGATATAGAAAAGAATACAAACTAGCCCTTCGGTTTGGAAGGGTTATAAGGTAACGCCCCTTCACTACGCTCCTCTGAAGTCTCTTCCATAGTAGATAGTTCTTTATATCCCTTATCCAGCCGTGATGATTTCGAATGTCGACTGGTATCCGGCAACTCTTGATATCTATCAGATCCAGATTGCGGATGATAGAAATCCGCCGGCAGCTCCACAGCAAAGCTTTTACTGTGTTCATGCCCATACTGCGGCGGAAAGGCATACCCAGAAGCGATCGGTCCCAACTGCGCCGAGTCCATCGGCGATGTCGGTGTCCGAGAAGACGACGACCTCGACATTTGATCCGACTGCCTCCGCGAATACGACGGCTCCCTGATAATCCTGCTCGATCGATCCGCCGGATTATAGGTCGTCAATTTGCCATCTTCCATCATAGCCTGCAAAACACCAGCATCAAGAAGCTCAGCTTTCTTAATCAGACGATCTACCAACACCTTCGAAGCAGCCTTCAGCTGATTCTTAACGAAAGAGATTAGCGTGCGGTTGCATTCGATCTCGATATCCTCGCGCAGATAGAGTCCCGTTTGCGGGGCGCCGGCTGCGCACCCGTTTCGCGGCTCGGGCGGTTCGTCGCGCTGATTGCCTGCGACGCGCCATTTGCTTCGGAGGTCGATTCCCATCGGTGCGTACATGTGCGTTTCTAGCCCCCATGCGACATTGTGGAAACAGCCTTTGAAGCTGATCTTGCCCGACCCAATCTTACCCAGCCCCGGAACGTATTGCACCCGTTCGGTGATCTCGTACCACGTTGAGTAGTACTCGTCGGCGACGGCATCCCGTGGAGCACTGATCGGCTGATGTGAGAGGACGAGTGGGTTTAGTGTGATGATTTCACTATGGCTGTGGAGGATGTCAAGGGCTAGTTGGCGGGGCACGGACGAGGGGATGGGTGTGATATTGGTATAAATCTCTTTTCGGCGCATCATTCTGGACGATTTAGTTTGATAGATATAAATAGCTGTATAGGGGAGAAGACAAGGCCAAAAGTACAAGGCTGAATTGAAGTTGCACTCGTATTTCATCTGCTTACTTTTTCCAAGTTGCAGCCTTGGCAAGTATCGGGAAGACAAGGCTAGACCTTGCACCTGACAGTATTATGGATGGCTTTCGGGCTAAATAAATTATATGCGAGGGCAATTCGAAAACAATACATTTCTCATTGGTATAACATAAATCCGTTTACATCGTCTTTACTCTTACTTCAGCTCCCACTTGTCGCCCTCGGATACAATCTCCACGGGCCGCCTCTCATCCAGCGACTTGCGTCCTGCATCGAGAATTGCCGTTGTGGCGATTGTATTACGCAGAGTGGGCAGCGGGCGAGCGTCCAGTTGGTCGAGGGTCACACGGCCCTCGTTCACAGCCGTGACGGCATCGATGAACTTCTCAAAGCTGATGTAGCCGTATCCAGTCTGCCCACTGAAGTTTCCTTCTTCGTCGGGAGCGTAGCGCATATAGAATCTAGTATATTGGAGTCAGCACGGAACCATGCTGTAACATTATCTTGCGAATGGGACTCTTACGGGTTGAAATGGATTAGACCCTGGTCGTCGCCGGTCACTTCGTAGCCACGCTTGGCCTGGTTAACGCGGATTTCGCCGTTGGCAGCCATATCTGTTCCAATGTGTTAGAGGAGCTCTGTTTAAAGTCTACTGCCGGGGAATGGAATAACATGCAGTGGAAGTATTGGTTGGAGTGAACACCCGCATTTTGAGGTGCCGTCCAGCTAGCAGTGTAGACACCAGTGGCAATCTTCGCCGGGTTATCACGGCGGCGCCACTCCACGAGGAGGGTGATGGTGTCCTCAGTCTCGGGGACACATCCAAGCTCAGCAGCGGTACCCTGAGATGCAGTTGCTGTTACCCGCACAGGCTTATATTCTGGGACCATGCTCTCGCAGATATCAATGTGGTGAGAGTTGAGGTAGTAGGAAATATCGGAATCACGACCAGCCCACGCCTTGAAGGTCTCGAGCTGGCTCTTAGGCTGGCTCATGTAACTATAAAAGTAGTTGAAGTCACCGAGGGTCTTCGCCTTAGCCCGCGCATCAGAGTATGCAGGGTCAAAGCGCTTGTGGTGCTCGATGAAGACGAAGACGCCGTGTTTGCGTGCGGCCTCGACCAGAGCTAGGTGGTCTCCCAGCCGCTGAGTTGCTGGCTTGGTGATGAGCACGTGAATACCGCGCTCAATTGCGTACAGCGCAATGGGATAATGGGTAGAGTCAGGGGTGAAGATGGTGATGGCGGATCCTTTGGGGAGGGCATCAATGGCGGTCTTATATGCGTCGGGGTCGGTCTGGTCGTCTGCGGGGAACGAGGTGAACGAGGTATCGAGGTTGTTGTAGACTTGAGAGATATTACGGTGCAAGTGGTCACCTATTCTCGTGATTAAATTCCTGTTTCCTTGCTTGTTCTTTCGTTCAACTTACGAATGCCGGGGAACTTCTTGCCGGACACGCCCACCATGCTCAGGTCGCCAACCTTGCCTCGCCGGCGCAGGTCAAATAGACTGAGTCCTACCACGCCGACCTTCTTGTCTGAGCCAGATGCACCACCGCCGACGAAGCCGGTGGTGTATTCACCAGTGCCAACCTGTGATTTTAGTTAGCTTGGGATCTATTGCGTGGAATCATTGTCCATACCATCAAAACGCTAGGAGGAGCCATGATGTCTGTTAATTCCAAGGTGGCGATTGAATTACGGGGGGATCTCTGGGGAGAAAAGGAAATTTAAGACAATTCACAAAAAGCCGGGGTGTTGAATCGCTGGATATAATTCTTCCGGCGTTTGAAATGCCAACTCAATAGCCGTATCTTATCGGCCATGGGATTCGGACGCCATCTGCTTTCTTTTTCATCAACATCATTCTTCCCTTTAAAAGGAGACATTCGTGAATATAACTATTTGCTCGCTGCTCATGATCTCAATTGCCAATTTACGAAATGCCAGACTCATGTATGGCCTCATTCGACGCCATAGCCGGCTGAAATGCGCGTTTACCCGCCTGTTCTACCCCTCATGTCCCCCACATTCTTTATGCTTAAGATGATTGGTGGAGTGCAATTCTCCGCCATACAAACGGCCTCGGAGCATTCGCCGACGTGGGGGAAGAGATGACCCGAAGAAGTTCAAATGCATGGGCCAAGTGCCAATGATGTTTTAGTTACTATATACCCCTCAAATTCCAAGTAAGTTATTATTCTATCAACATCAGTTAATATCAGCGTCAATCGACTCATATACACTCCTGAATCATGTCTCCTACACCACTCCGCCCCGGCGTTTATGCGCCAACAATGACGTTCTTCGATGCTCAGACCGAAGAGCTCGATATCGTCTCTATTCGCCGCCACGCTGTTCGTCTAGCCAAGGCCGGCCTTGTCGGCCTGGTGACGATGGGCTCAAACGGCGAGGCAGTGCATCTCAGCCGCGAAGAGCGCATGACCGTTACTAGGGAGACCCGAGCTGCCCTCAATGAAGCTGGTTTCTCGAACGTGCCCGTCATCGCCGGCGCCAGCGAGAACAGCATCCGCGGAACCATCGAACTGTGCAAGGAGGTCGCGGCCTCGGGCGGCGAGTACGCTCTGATTGTGCCCCCTAGCTATTACCGCTCTGCAGTCGGCAATGACGAAACCTTATACGAATACTTCACAGCCGTTGCCGACGGCTCTCCTGTTCCTCTTATCCTGTACAACTACCCCGGTGCCGTCGCTGGCATCGACATGGACTCCGATCTCATCATCCGTATTTCCGAACACCCTAACATTGTCGGCACAAAGTTCACTTGCGCCAATACCGGCAAGCTGACTCGTGTCGCTACCGCTCTCGGTGCCATCACCCCCTCCTCCCCCTTGGCTCCTGCCCAGCGTACCGCAACAGTCTCCAAGCCCAACGCTGAGCACCCGTACGTCGCCTTTGGCGGTATTGCCGACTTCAGTCTGCAGACCCTCGTCTCTGGCGGCTCTGCCATTCTTGCCGGTGGCGCGAACGTTCTTCCCCGCCTGTGTGTCCGCATTTTCACTCTCTGGTCGGAGGGCCGTCTTACAGAGGCCATGGAGGCCCAGCAGCAACTCAGTGCTGCCGACTGGGTTCTCACAAAGGCTGCCATTCCTGGCACCAAGGGTGCTATCCAATCATACTACGGTTACGGCGGGTTCCCTCGCCGACCTCTCAGCCGTCTTACTGATGCCCAGTACCAGACCGTTGCTGATAAGATCAAGCCTGCTATGGATGTTGAGTTGACCTTGCCCGATGTGGCATAATGGCTTGGAAATACGGCAAGGAGCTACATCTAAAGTCTAGCAATATAATTCCACTGCATACACCAAGTTCCATGACCTCGACTTTTGTTGTAATCTTTACATCGTGGATGTCTTACTCGCCAGCACGTAGCAGCTTCAACCCTTAGACTAATGACATGGCACTACTTTCGAATGGCTGCCATAGGAGAGGCAAAAAAGGATGGATGTATGTCGTAACTACTAAAGTTCATAACTACATAACTAAGTGGGTCTTAAGATAGACTTCAGGTCTACCTACTCCGTACACCGGCAGTTACTAATATCTCTAGCCTAGAACATCGAGATACGGTTATACTTTCTATTCTTCTATTAATAACAATTGTTGCTTGAGAAATAATCACGCAATATACTCTAGAAATTGTTGCATTAAGTCGCTATGACTATTATAAAGGGAGGATCTGCAACAGATCGCTACTCATTCCTTCCAAGTTCTCTGGATATGGCTCCGCAAATCCATCTTGTCCGCCACGCGGAATCTATCCACAATGTTTCCAAAGACTTCTCTCAACTTGACCCTGGCCTGACACCACTTGGCTTTGAACAAGCCAGAGAGCTCACCCAAACGTTTCCCCATGCTCCACAGGTGGGCATAATCCTCACCTCCCCGCTGCGGCGCGCCATCCAAACCACACTCGCTGCTTTCTCACACGTCCTCGATAAACGCTATTTTGATCAAGACTCTGACCATGGTATCGAAAATGGTGCGACCCTCATCCTGGATCCAGATTTGCAGGAACGGAGTGCCCTTCCCTGCGACACTGGATCCACATCTTCGACCCTAGAGCAGGACTTCCCGAGACTAGACGTCAAAGATTTACCGGAAGGTTGGCAAGTGAAGGAGGGTATTTATGCCCCTGAAGATGAGGCAGTGGAGGAGCGGGCGAAGAGAGTGAGATCGCGCGTCGCGGAACTCTCTGATCAATTGAAGGAGCAACAACGGAAAGATATCGTGATTGTAACGCATGGTGTTTTCATGAAGTTCCTGTCTGGAGACGCAGATATTGATCTCCCAAAAGCGGGGTGGGAGAGCTACACGCTTGAGAAACATAGCTCTGGCATTGTTCTGAGTGGAAAATAGAAATGGGCTGAGAAATCTCGATAGCTAGAGTAATCGTTCTCCGCAATCTGCTTTCTGTTTCCAGAATCTGTTTTAACCAGAATCTCCTTTTCAATCCTCTAGACCTCTCTATTATCAAAGTTCTTTTGAAACCTTCCAAAGTTGGAATAACTAATTTCCTAAATTGGCGTAGTCCATAAAAATATACTTTCCCAATTCCACGGCGGAGTACGTCCACTGGCACACCTCCAGAGTATTTAAGGAAACGGGCTCGTGCTTAGGGCTTAGTTTAAGTCGACCTTGTTCAGGTAACTACGTATACACAGTACTTATTGTTATTAGCCACCGGACATTCCAACGCATGTGCGATACTGCCATATATACTGTTCAACTTGTCTGCCTCGGGCAATCTACGAAAATGGACGATACCCCCGTAAATACAGTCCCCAAGGCTTTGTGTTTTATGGCGAGATGCGAGAGACTGGAACAAATCCTTGTCTCCATGAAGAAAATAACAACCCCCTTCATCCCACATCAGCGTCTACAGATTCTCCGGATTGACCTCAATCATATGGACATTGCTACCGGTATAACTTCGCCTTCTGTTACGCGATATTTCATGCCAAGAACAGCCACACCTAGGATAGAAAAGATACGTGAAGATCCAAGCTGGGATTGGTTTCTATCTCAAAAAGGCAACTTCGGAAAAGGAACTTACCGGGCAAACTATCTACTGCGGCGTGTGTTCATGGACTACCAGGACTCGAGTATTCCGGAATTTTGGCCCTACGAGCTGGACGAAGTGAAAAGCGAAGGAAAAGGGGATAACGAGGATCCTACTGTCCTGGAGTCTTCGGGTCAGCTTGATAGCACCGACGGCGACGGGGTGAGCGATGAAGATGACAAACCGCATAGTATAGAAGTCAGCGAGAGTGAGGAAATAAACAGTGACAAGGAAGGGGAAATCACGGACCTCAAAAAACATTATGAGAGTGATGAAGATTGCGACAAGAGCGAAGAGAGCGGCGGCGAGAATCGCAAACCAAATGATGAAAGTCACGAAAAAAGCGAGAAAAGCAACAAGGAAGCCAATGATGACAATGATATGGCTATCTCGAACGCTCTTGGCCTGGATCTCCGCAATTACCAGACAGATGACTGGTCAGTCTACTGGTAAGTGGCTCTGTGGAATTTGTATGATCTAGGCTGACCACTTTCGCCTAGGTTCCAAAGGCTATACAATCTTGATCTGCCAGACAAAGTACACGGAATCAGTATCGCCAGGTCAATGGAGCTAGATCACCCGTACAAATGCCATGCATGGGCTCTGGTAGATGTGATCTTATGTGGTCACGATCGCCCATCGACTGCTGAGCTCATAGCCTTAGTTAGCTGGGAGCTGAGAGGCATGTTTCGTCAATTAGAATCGCTCGCCAATGGAATTGAGACAGAGTATGTTCACATGCTCAGTGAAGTCTTTCCAGTGAGTTCAATTCAGTACTAACTCCATCTCTTGTGCAAAGAATGCCTTACTAATATATTGTGAGTCCTATAGACCATGATCATAGTGTTCGACCAAAGATGCTGTGCCCGTGTACTATACGGTTACTTCGATGGTAGATTTCAAGTTCAATTTACCCCGGTCTTGAATTTTAAAGAGTTTACTGAGGTCAGATCATCAACCTTGGATGGTTACATGGGCCAAATTGACAAGAGAAAGTATTATGACATGATGCACTCACTGCTTTGTTGGGCGTGGCCTCTTGCTCATCATCCACTCTCGCTTCTTGGATGACCACAACAATTATGGCTATATGGGAAACCTTGATCTGGGTCCGCAGTTCTGTCTAGCTTTGACTGGCTCAGTTATATGGCTAAGTTTACTCTTAATGTCTCTAAGGAGCATTACATCTTGGTTTGTGGGGCAATTCTTTGTCTGCATGGACTTTACTAAGGCTTTTGTGAGTGTCGCAACCCCCCCACAGAATTGTATGTTTTCCAGATGAAGAATTCCATGGGAGTTCCTGAACTTGTAGGCTAATTGCTTGCTTTTAACAATAAATTCAAACTGTAATAGTAGATATGACGTGTATTCGCCCTCCGATTGCGAGTACAACATCTACCACACCCATGTAAAGCCCAAGCCCTAAACTAAAGCCCTATATCATCCCACTTCTTATCGCCGATAAGGCCACACCAGGATATAATTTCTTCTCGCAAGCTCATAGGTGGAAAAACATTTAAATCGGAGTTGATACGAGAACCCGCCCACTGGACGACCCTGGGACCTAGCGCGATCAACTACGCATGGATGTTCACCACCCCACGTTGCCCAGACCGCTTGATTCTTTTCAGCGTATCCGCTTCGCCTCTCGGGCGATATCGAACCCCGAGTCCTGCGCTCTGTTTCCTCTTGGTTGCTAGTTTACCCGGTGGAGCGGGTCCACGGACAATGTCCGACTGGAGGAGATCAGCTGTATACGGTAGCAGTACGTAGTATCACGACGAATCTGGAGACTATATCCCGCGTAAGAAGAATTGAATATTTCGCGGTCCCCGCTCGTAGGGGCTGAGATTTAGCGGCGTTGATATACAACCCCTGCACCCCGCTTGCCTCCTGGTTCTTACTTTTCTTTTACTTTTTGGTTCTCTCGTGTACACTGCTTTGCTGTATCCCAAAGCATAGTCATTGACAAAGACTTCTTCAGACCAATCCCTTGTTCTTATCACAATGCCTTACCCCGAAGAAGCTGAGGGCTTCCAGGTCGATGGACCTAACAGCTACACCCAGTTCCACAAGCGCCACGTATGTGCTCTTTTCCTTTGCCAGTTAGGATATGCTCTTACCTAGATGGATTGTGATGAATAGTTCAAGCTGAAGCCTTTTGGCGACTATGGTGAGTTAGGCTGTCGGTCTATGCTTTTCCCGATTCTAACTGAGCATAGATGTCGACGTTAAGATTGAGGCCTGTGGCATATGTGGCAGTGACGTGCACACTATCAGCGGTATGGTGGCCCCGTCGAAATATGAAGCAGAAGCACCGGCTAATGTATTCATATAGGAGGATGGGGAGATCAAAAGTTCCCCCTTTGCGTGGGTCACGGTACGTATTCAAAAAGAAAAAGAAGGCTACTATCTCGTGCTAATGGCCATGCTAGAGATCGTCGGTCGGGCAATCCGTGTCGGACCTAAGGTCACACTAATCAAGGAAGGCGAGCGCGTTGGAGTCGGCGCGCAGTCCTACTCCTGCGGCAAGTGCAAGCAGTGCCGCAACGACAACGAGACATACTGCCAAGTTGAGCCGATGGACACCTACGGCTCGAAGTGGGCCGACAGTGGCATCGTCAGCCAGGGCGGATACTCATCACACGTGCGGACACACGAGCACTGGGTGTTCCCGATCCCGGACGCGCTGGAAACCAACTCGGTTGCTCCGATGCTGTGCGCCGGACTGACGGCGTACTCGCCCTTGGTGCGCAATGGTACTGGTCCTGGCAAGAAGGTTGGAATCGTTGGACTGGGTGGCATTGGTCACTTTGGAATCATGTTTGCTAAGGCGCTGGGCGCAGAGACGTGGGCTATTTCGCGCTCGCGTGCTAAGGAGGCGGACGCTCGCAAGCTCGGTGCTGATGGTTACATTGCTACAGCCGAGGAGGGATGGGAGAAGGATCATCTATGCTCGTTTGATTTGATTATCAACTGCGCTAACTCTTCGGAGGGCTTCGATCTTGCGCGCTATCTGTCCATGATGGATGTTCATGGGCGCTGGATCAGTGTTGGCCTTCCTGAGGAGGAGGGTCAGGTCATTAAGGCTCAGAACCTGATCTCCAACGGTGTTCTTATCGGTGCCAGCCACCTGGGTAGCCGTCGGGAGATGCTGGATATGTTGCAGCTGGCTGCAGATCGGGGTCTTAAGGGTTGGGTAGAGGAGATTGCCATCGGAGAGGAGGGACTCAAGGAGGCCATGCTGCGCATGAAGAAGGGCGATGTCCACTATCGGTTCACTCTCACCGGATATGAGAAGATCTTTGGATGAAGGGGATAGAGGTTCAGTATTGAGTATTATGTATATAGTCGGTGTCAACATACAAAACCAAGGAGGTGGTAGAAGGCTGGGGGCGGTTAGGGGTGTTTATTCATATTTTGAGGAAGTTTTCCGAAGAGATTGAAGTCAATTAGTATTTTTCAATGATAGTGTAATCATAGGCAGCATGGAAAGAAACATACAAAGGAACCGATACTAATATTAGCATCCTCAAAAAAGGCCTGTCATCATCATTGTCTCAATAGAAAAATTAGAAACCCTAATCGCCACCGGTGCGGATCAATTGTGTAGACGGTACTTAGATCCGCAGTAGATTTACCATGTCGATCCAAGTCACAGTTACTCCGCACGTTCCCGTCCACGGGCGTTTCCCCCCAGGATTTGCCCCCCCAGCTCCTTAAAATTCTGAACCATGCAGGGGCGAGTACCACAAAAGTATTTGGTACTTGATTTTTATAGTAGAGTACTACTAAAATATAAGTAACATAGACTACTCGGTAACTTAACGGTCGAACCAATCAATCCTCCCCAATTCACCGCCCGACTCGACCCATTCGTTCTGCTTGCTGGAATTCTTCCGCCCTTTTTTATCTTCTCCTTGCGCCTTCGTTTCTTTTCCTTTTGTTGTTCTCTCTGTCTAGTTCTTTCATTAATATTCCTCTTTTCTCTATCTTTTTCATTCTCTTGGGTCATTGGAGTTTGCGAACGGTCGTTGATATACACTTTGTTAGACTTATCTCACAGGACCCCCAAGACCAAGAGTCACCTCGGTCGACAAACGATAAATAGACCGAACTCATAAAAAGCCTTGCATTCATTGTTCCAAAAACCGTCACATCTCGGCGATCAGATTCATCCAATTATTGTTTAATTGCCCTCGACACGCCCACAACCTCAGTCATGTCGCCACGAGAGACCAACGCCACCTCCACCAGGCGACGCCCCTCGTTGTCATTTCGTTCGCGTCCACGGACCGTGGGTCATGCCGCCCCAATGCCCAAAGAGCTAGCTTTGGACACATGGGAGGAGCCATACTTTATGGAAATATGCCAGGATGACCACGCACCGGTCGTGGAAGAGATAGACCCGTTCCCGAACGCGGCTCCCCGGCGCCGTGGTGCCAAAAGCTTTTCGAGCTTGAAGCATCCTGTGGATGGTCTGGTCGCTCTCGGCCGTCGCCTGTCCGTCAGTCTCCGGAACAAGCCTTCCAAGCAAACGATCCCTGTCACCGAGGATATCAAATTGGTTGATGACGGTGAAGACCGTTACGATCACCATATTTCGCGCCATGCAAACCATAAGCGCATGGCCTCCGGTAATTGGGATGTCCGGTCAACGAAAACACATTGGCATCAGGGCTACAGCGTCAACCGGCGCCCTTCTTTGTATAGTGTGTCCGCCTTGCAGAGTTTCTATGCCCCCACCGCCTCGATCCCTGTCCCCATCCCGGGCCATGGGCAGGCACCTCCAGTTCTGCCAAATCACATGTCCGCAGGTGCAGCGGCGCGCGCTGCAGCCGCAGCGCAGAATGAGCAGATGGAGGCTGCGCGGATGGCCAAGGCGGAACTGGAGAACAAGATGCTCGATCTGAACGTTCCACAGGACTCGGAGAGTGGTATTTGTATCGACTTGCGCGACCGATCGGATATGTCAGATACTGATTTGCTGACCGTGATGCGACTCGGTAAGGATGATCTTCCCTGATGGCCGACGCGCGTGTTTTTTTAACTGGTCCTTTCAGATCCCGTGGCTCTGCTTCCGGCTGAGATTACATCACACATTTTTTCATATTTAGACCCTGATTCCCTCATGGAAGCGGAGCTTGTGTCTTGCACCTGGTTTCGTGCGTCGTCTTCTCATGTTTGGAGGCATGTATTCCGCAATGCATATGGCCGACGGCCAGCAAGTGAGACGGCCTCCAAATTGAAGCTGTCATCTGGCTTAGGCAAGTCAATCCCGAACCAGGACTGGAAGAAGAAGTTCCTTGTTCGGCGCGCTCTCGATCAGCGCTGGGCGGAGGGCAAAGCTGCAGCCATTTATCTTCAAGGTCACCAGGACAGCGTCTATTGCTCTCAATTTGACGAGTAAGTTAACATTGATATGTTGATGTCGTGCACTGCTAACGAGTTTGTAGGAATAAAATCATTACTGGCTCCCGTGACCGGACGGTTCGTGTGTGGAACGCACACTATCCGTGGTCATGCCAGAAGGTTATTGGGCCACCCGCAGCCCGGACTTTCCGCCGTGGTCCACTGAACAATCCAACTGCCCAGGCCACGGGGAAAGCGCCGTTTATGACCGTTGCCCCGCCGTTGCCTACGCCGGATGAAACGACGGAGATTACGGCACCATTTGAGGAAGAATCGATATACCATAGCGCATCAATCCTGTGCCTGCAGTTTGACGAGGAGATCATGGTCACAGGATCTTCGGACTTTACCTGTATCGTGTACGACATCAAGGACGACTACCGACCGATTCATCGTCTTTCCGGTCATCACGCCGGTGTGCTTGATGTGTGCTTCGATGACCGGTACATCGTCTCATGCTCCAAGGATACCACCATTTGTGTGTGGGACCGAAACACCGGAGAGCTTTTGAGGCAGCTGAACGGTCACGAAGGGCCAGTGAATGCTGTGCAACTACGCGGTGACCTTATAGTGTCAGCTAGCGGTGACGGTGTCGCCAGGATGTGGAACGTGGTCTCAGGCAAATGTATCAAGGAGTTCACCAGCAAGGACCGTGGCCTCGCCTGTGTTGAATTTAGTGACGATGGCCGGACCATCCTTACTGGCGGCAACGACCGCATAATCTATCAATTCGATGCTAACACAGGCGAACTTGTCAACGAGCTCCACGGGCATTCTGGCCTCATCCGATCTCTGCATCTCGATAGCGCAAATAAGCGCATCATTAGCGGTAGCTATGACATGAGCGTCAAGGTGTTTGACCGTGATACGGGTGAGCAGTCTATCAACTTCCCTGGCTGGACCACAAGCTGGATGTTGAGCGTGCAGTCCGATTATCGGCGCATTGTTGCGACGAGCCAGGACTCCCGGGCTGTCATTATGGACTTTGGATATGGAATAGACGGGATCGACCTGTTAGAGGAGTGATCTATTTGCATTTGTTTATATACCGGTTGCTCTTCTTATCAGCGCTTTTTTTTTTCACTTTGTTTGGTCGTCATCATTATACATGGATTGCTAAGATTATATGAGTTGAATATGAGCTTTCTTAGTGTTGGTACAAATTGGATCGTGCGCTTGAATATTGGCATAATAAATTCTCGCTCTTTTTTGTCATCCTACAGCAAGATTATACCCCTAGCATAGTATATATTATTATCGTGTATGACCACAATAACCTTAATCTTCAAAAGACGTTGTCCTGTGAGCGAGGTCGTCGCGACAACCTTGGAACGCAGCTACAACCTTGGAAGATCAATGGATCGACCATTTATGCTGGTCAAATATGGCGGCGGAGAAGGCGGTAGAAGCGGCGGTCAATGCGTGAGGCGACAACTTGTTATTCTAAGGGACAGCACGATAGGTGGTATGATATGTGAGGTTTGACCTATTGCGATGGAGTTATGCCTCACTCGACGATGTTACTAATAGTCTTATGCGACGAGGTAATAAGTCTGGCTGCGATGTGATACCTCAGGTAGAACTTAGCACCTTAGGCAAAAATATATTGATTAACTAATCTATTTGTGATTCGCCAGAAAAGTGGGCTAGTGCCAGTGCGATCCGTGGGAGTTAGCATCAAAACAATCCCTCTGCTGTTTCCCATCAACCACACAAGCAGAGATTGACAAGAAGTCCTGGTCTTGCGGTGTAATATTGTCATCAAGCTCTTTTCCGCTTAGCGCTCATTCCAGTCTCATTTTCCGCTTTAGCGTTTCGATTGATATCTATTCTACCCCACCATCATGGGTGAATCCAGGTTCGGCTTTTCTCCTATTCCCCGCCATCTCGCGACCGATATGGCTTTACTAATGCCGATCAATTTATGATTTCAGACAGGAACTGCTGGCATGGCTTAACAACCTGCTGCAGCTGAACCTTACCAAGATTGAGCAGTGTGGAACTGGGTATGGTTGATCAATTTTCTTTCCTCCGACTTCAAAAGGGCCGCGGGGCGGTCGACTGTTTTTTGTATAGATCAGATGGGCTAACCTCTTATCTTCTCTCTTCACAGTGCTGCCCTCTGTCAGATCTTCGATTCCATTTTCAGTATGTAATCACGACTTGCGCAACAATTGAGAGATAGAGATGGTCCCGTATTGAGTTGCGTAATATACTGACTGCTTTATTTCTTTGTTCAGTGGATGTTCCCATGTCCCGGGTCAAGTTCAACGTGAACACTGAATATGCTTACCTCCAGAACTTCAAGATTCTCCAGAGTATGTGAAGGCGGATTCCAAATCGGTCATCAACGATTCCCTTTTTAACATATTCAATCACCCAGACGTCTTCTCCCGCCACCAGGTCAACAAGCCCGTCCCCGTCCAGTCCCTCACAAAGTGCCGCATGCAGGATAACCTTGAGTTCCTCCAGTGGGTTAAGAAATACTGGGACCAGCACTATCCCGGTGGTGAATATGACGCCGTCGGCCGGCGCAAGGCCTCCGGCGCCCCTGCTCCCGTTGGAGGCCCCGCTTCGCGCGCCCCGTCTGCTGGCAGCGCACGCCGTGGAGTGACCCCAACAACCGGCGCCGTCCGTCCCCGAGTTGGCGCCGCGGCCAGTGGAGCGGCCACCGCTGCCCTGCAACAGGAGATCTCGACACAGAAGGAAGCGATCGCAGGACTGGAGAAGGAGCGCGATTTCTACTTTGCCAAGTTGCGAGACATTGAGCTGCTGCTCCAGAGCGCCATTGAAACCGACCCCGAGCTTGAAAAGGAGGAAGACACGCTTGTTAAGCACATCCAGGGCATTCTATACTCGACCGAGGTCCGTTCCCTTGACCTATTCGCTGAGGATTCCCCAAACTGACGCTTATGCGCTTCCCATTAGGACGGCTTTGAAATTCCCGCCGAAGGAGAGGAGCTTCCGGCCGACGAGCTCGAGACTTTCTAAGTGAAACATGAGTCCCGAGGCCGAGAGGAGGAAAGACGCGCTACTAAATACCCCCCTCCTATTCTTTCTTGTGTTCCTTCCATTGGGTGTCAATAAGACGAGGAGGGCACGTAGATATGGAGTCAAATGCATACGTCCTATTTTTGCACGGAGAGACATGGTCTGACACTTAGGCTTAAAATAGGTTTATGGAGAATGGGATCGGCAAATGATTCTCCGTTAGTACAACGTATGTTGGGATCGGGTGGTGTGGTCCGGAGTAACACGTCTGATTGCTGGTTTGCTTAATTCCCTGGGGAAATATTGGATTCATAGAGTCGAGAAGCACATACTCCGTATATGCTAAAGATATATTTTTATTTTACCTATGTAACCATTGTCCCTTGCCGATGTATAAAGCCATTTGACGCTAAGCCGATGATAATTAAACCTGCATGGCACACTAAGCCCAAAGTAGACTAGTATCCTTGGCTAGAACCTCATTTGGGCCCTGTCACTTTTTCATTCGTTGACTCTCGCAGGTACCGCCAGGTACCTGCGTTGAGGTTGAGAGAGAACTGGCTTTTGTTTTTCCTTTTTTCTTGCTCTCTCTTCTTTAATGAAAAAGAAGATCATAATTCAATTCCAGATATCTTCCGAAATCAAGGTGAAAAGAAAAAGAAGAAAAGGATCTGTCAGCCCCCGAGCCTAATTCGCCAGTAACCCGGCCTAGACTAGGCCTTGATAGGGGATTGTTTGGTCCGGTCTGGGTCCTTTTCCATCTTCCCGTGTCGCTTCTTCTCTTGCGTGTCTCGCTTTTTGTTCCTTTTGTTCTTTTTTGGTCTTTGGTCTTTGCATTTGTACATTCATCCCCTCTCTCGACAGAGAATTGTGCCGTGACCACACTGCCTTCAGAGTCCACGGGTCCCATCTGACCGGCTTACTCTCTCGATATATTCAACATTCTATATTTCCCTTTGTGGTTCCAATATCCAAACACAATGGACTAGGATATGAGACTGGGCTCTCTTTTTTTCCACTCTCTTCGTCACTCGTTTACTCCAGGTATGTGTTGTATCAATTCATTCGAGGCCCTCGAATTTGCTTGCTTACATGGCGTGGGCTTCCCCAATTGGATTCATCGATACTAACTTGGAACCCTGCTTAGTCGTTCGTAAGACTGCCATTTCCTCCCCGTAACTGTGCGCCATATATTACGAAATTCTTGAGCTGCTATTTATGCTACGCTTTTCTTGTTGATCACAACGCTTGGCTACGCTTTTGCCAACGTCCACTCATTCAATACTGTCAACCGGGTCATTCCTTTCCCAACAACAACAACGATCTATCAATCTTTCCACAACTTCGCCCACGCTAGAACGTGTTTTTCTTTCGTTTAACCTTACCAGTCCCACTCTTCGCAAAGTGCGGAGCTCAACCTCTGTGAGGATCATACATTTTTTTGTTTTGCTGCTTTGTCTTGATATTTGCATGTGATTGGCAATTGACGTGGACGTGTATGGAAAAATTGTCAACATGGCTCATGGTCATTTCCGTCACTCGCGCATCGGCAATTTAATTAGTGCCAGGCGCCGCCGGGAAGCTGAGCTTGATGACCAGGATGCGGGCTCTGATTTGCTTGAGGATACATTTCAAAACCCCATCCTCCCTGCTACTGATATACTTCCGGAGGAAAATTGCGACTCGTTGAAAAGCTCTATGCGCCTTGAGCATGTCATGAGCGAATCTGATTCAATGCTTGAAAAGCGGGACGAGACGACCCCCACCGACCCTACTAGTATCGAAACTGTATTGCAGATAGTCGATGCTAGCTCACAGACCCCGTTTCAGTCGCTCGCTACTGACTTTCCGATGACGACGTCGGATTCTCCGTACGCCACCGACACTCTACCGAGCTCGGACAGTTTGCCTGCTACTGCAACTGCGACTGCAACTGCGAGTGCCTCTATAGATTTAGGGCTATTGACCTCGCCGACGGCGTCGCCACTATCCGAGACGTCACCCTCAAGAATCTCCACGAACTCCGCAAGTCAACTTCCATCAGCATTAAGATCTCCCTCAGCCGCAGTCGTCAGTTCGCCTGCATGGAGTTCCACTCGCCTCGTCACTTCTTCTATCTCTACGCCCTCTGCTACGGCAACATCATCCCAAGCGCACATTTCCTCGTCATACTCTGGTACCAGCTCCGGCTCCAGTTCCAGTTCCACCTCGACAAGCTCGACTTCCAGCGCGAGCTATACAACCTCTCAGTCAAATGTATATGGAGGCTCTGAGTCAGCAAGCTCGGTGACTGGTACCGTAACTGCGCCAACTACAACTGAAACACAGGCCTCGGGGCATGGTTCGACAAGCAATCCCGACACACCTAAAATCGTGGGCGGTGTAGTAGGATCAGTTGCCGGCGTCGCTCTCATTCTTCTTCTTCTATTTTATTACCTCCGCCGCCGAGGATTCTTGATGGGGAAAATGGGACGTCCCACTATGTTAGGTGACGCAGCAGCTGGGGCTGGAGCAGGGGCTGGGTCTAGAGAAGTTGTCGAGCGGCGCGAAAGCAACGACCCCCTTTTCACAGCCTCATACCTCGCCCCCGCATTCATGAAGCGCTGGCGCCAGTCGACGGCAACAACGCGCTCTGGAAGCACCATCGACTCCGCCCCCAGCGAACGCGGGTTCCAAAAGATTTCCGGCAGAAAGCTTCCTCCCGTCTTCACCCACGGTGGTGATGGATACGGCGGCGGACTAGACGGCGATTCTCCCACCGTACCAGGCTTCCCTGCCACCTCACCAGCAACCGGGCCAATTGGATCACCATCCTTCTATGCTCCGCCCCCAACCTCGCCATATGGCATGCCCCTGGACTCAAACTATACCCGTGAGGTCGAGGAGCACACCCCACCAGCACAGCCCAATCCAGTGCATCTTCCTATTTCCAGTGCAGTTAACGTTGCCACTCCCATCACTGTTACACCAGCCGAACCGATTGCACAACCCCAGAGTGCAGTGCCCTTCGCGCCGCCGCGGCCGGATGGGCTCGGCCGTAGTTTGCACAGTTTCGACGGGAGTCGAAGCAGCCGTTTCACCGAGGTTATCGATCAGTAATCGTCAATGTTGCGATATGGGACACGCGAAATGATGGAAATGAAGTGATGGGTGGGGGCACAGCCCCTCTGTGGCATCGGACTCCGGGGCTTGTCCCCGATCGTACCTTTTTATTGTTATTATTTATTATTTTCTGTTCGATTCTGTCTCTGTGTGCTGTAAAAGCGCATTTACCGTCTTTGATTGTCATTTTGTGGTTATATTCTCTTTTCACTATTGATACCCCCTTCTTTCCATTTCTCTTCTGCTCCTATTTCTCTTACTTCTTGTTCAAATTACTTTCTCTTCATTATCTTCCCACTTGAGGTTTGTGTTATTGTGAATATATTACTTTGTTCTCTTAGTATGAGTCAAGGCCTGAACAGTATCAGCTTGGATAATCAAGGTAATCTAAAGTTATTGGGCTTCACAGATGAAACATCCATTTTCCACACCTATAGATAACTTCTGGTAGAGATATCACTAACCTTGGAAGATTCGGACTTCCTATATATAGATGACACATGCAGCGGAATTTTCAGCCCAGATGCCCAGTTGCTCATCAGCCGTGTAACACATCTTGCCTCGCCCACGATCTCCCACTACGTGGCCGGCCATGCATCCTGACCACGTGGCAAGGCCGGTGAGGCTAACATTATTGCAGACCGGTATCATTTCTCCCAGGACTGCTGCATCTGACATCTGAGACTACTATCGTGTTGCCATCTGAGACCAGCCACTGCCGCTACAGTTGGATTAGATATTCCTTTCCATATTCCTGACGAGCCAGAAGGTACAGGGTTGTTCGAGCGTCTCGAAAACGAGCCGTACTTCCAATGGAACGCTCTTCAAGCGTCAAATGGTCGAAGGGAAGGCAGAACTTTCATGTCTTATATTTGGAGGCAGGCGCAGGTGCCTTTTAGGATTCGTGTCAGATGAGGCTCAATGTAGCCTCTTCTCAATTGTATCCACCCACGTGTGCTGAGACCAAATTTGAGCTGTTTTCTCTGTTACAGCCACTGTTCCCTAGATGTTGTGTGCGAGTACGAGTGCTTCTGCCTAGCTACTCGAGAGCCTTGGGGTAGGCTTTTCTTGGAGTGAGTTAGCCAAGTTCCACTGCTACCTATTGCACTGCCCTTCCATGACCAAGCTGTTTATGTTTCTTGCCTCCCAGGTCATACCAGAGCTCAAGAGCCTCCAGTCCTAGTAAGAGCCGCACCGCCACAAAACGCCACAGATGGCGATCTGGCTGTCCTCCACGCCCCCCCCCCCCCCCCCC